AGATGGGGTCACAGTTCAAAAAAAAACAACACAAAAGCTGGCTTGACCTCACTTGACAATCGTGAGATAACTGGCGGAGGAGTTGAAAATGTTTCACAGACAATATCTCCTGAGCTTTGTTGGAGGAGAGGCTATTGAGTCTTTAGGGGAGAATGGAACCAGATTTGTTTTGGGAACCTGGTTGATTTATCCAATCCTATGCCTGACAAATGGCCACTGTTACCATTAGCTAATGCATCAGAGGAAACTGCAAGGAGATCGAAATGTCACCAATTTGATTTTTGTGGTTGCCTCACTTGGCACAGACCCGAGACTGAAATAGAGAAATCTGGATCAGGGTTGATTCCAATGCTGAGTTATCCAGACAGACTGAGCAAAGAACATTGCTGCTTCATTCCCATTTTTCCCCATTTAGAGGTGGTGTTCTACAGGGACAGAATATTGATTACACACAACAATCAGCTCACCCAGTGGGCTAATACAACTGGAAACACTGCTGCAATACACTGTGCAGCTAATATTAGCATTTCCCAGACTCTGCTGCAGATTGCTATTCGGTTGCTGAGCAACCAAACCAAAAGTGAAATTTGTGAAAATTGGCAGAGGATCCAAAGCGGTCTACAAGTACATTAAGAGCAAAGGAGTAACTAGAGACAGACTAGGGCCCCTTAAAGATCAACAAAGTCGACTTGTGCATTGAACCTCAGGAGATGGAAGAGATACTAAATGAATAGTTAGCCTCTGTGTTTACTGTTGAGAAAGAAATGGAATCTGGGGAAGTCTGGGAAATAAGTATTGATGTTTTGAAGACAGTTCACATTACACAACAGGAAGTGCTGGAAGCATTAAGAAACATAAGTGAATAAATCCCTGGGACCTGATCAAGTGTATAACCCCAGGACTTTGTGGGAAGTTAGGAAAGAAATTGCACAGCCCCTAGCAGAAATTTGTATCATCTATAGTCATGGGTGAGGTTCCAGGGGACTGGAGGATTGCTAATTTTGTGCCTTTATTTAAGAAAGGCTGTAAGGAGAAGTTCGGGAGCTATAGACTTGCGAGCCTGACATCAGTGCTGGGTAATTTGTTTGAGGTGATTCTGAAAGATGGGATTTACATGCATTTGGAAGGGCAAGGTCTGATTAGGGATAGTCAGCATGGTTTTGTGTGAGGAAATCACGTCTCACAAACTTGTTTGCGTTTTTTTGAGGAAGTGTGCTAGAAATTGTTTACTTGGGCTTTAAAAGTAGACTAATTAGTAAAATTAGACCGCATGAGATTCATGGTGAGCTTGCCAACTGGATACGAAATTGGCTTTACGGTAGGAGACACAGTTGTTTTAAGGACTGGAGGCCTGCGACAGCGGTGTTCTGCAGAAATCGGTGCTGGGTTCACTTTTGTTTGTCATTTACATAAATGATTTGGATGAAAGGCATGGTTAGTAAGTTTGTGGATGACACAAAAATTGGTGCTATAGTCAACAGCGAAGAAGGCTATCTAAGATTACAGAGAGATCTTGATCAGTTGGGTCAATGGGCTGACAAGTGGCAGATGGAGTTTAATTTGGATAAATGCGAGGTATTGCATTTTGGTAAAACTAAAAGGGCAGGTCTTATTCACCTAATGTTAAGGCCCTGGGTAATGTTGTAGAATAGAGAGATCTAGGGATTCAGGTACATAATTCTCTGAAGTTTGCATCACATGTAGAAGGGGGTAGTTAAGGCGTTTATCATTGCTCCGACTTTTGTGTATAGGAGTTGGGATGTCACGTTGAGTTTGTGTAGGATGTTTGTGAGGCCTCTTCTGGGGTACTGTCCTGTTTTGGTCACATTGCTATAGGATAAATCCCTGGGACCTGATCAAGTGTATCCCAAGACTTTGTGGGAAGTTAGGAAAGAAATTGCATGATAATTGGACAGGGTTCAGAAAATATTTTAACCAGAATGTTGTTGGGAATGGAGGGTTTGAGATATAAACGTAGGCTGGGACTATTTTCCACTGGAGCAGAGGAGGTTTAAGGGATGACCTTATTGAGGTTTGTAGAATCATGAGCGGTATAGATAAAGTAAATAGCCGGGGGAAGATGGGCACTTTGTCCTTCATAAGGCCAACTCCAAGTCCTGTTAACTTTCACTCCCCATGATCAGAGCGGACTTCACAGTTTCATTTGCAGAATGCTATTTAAATGGAGAAAGACTGTGCACAACGCTGCATACAGAGGGATTTGGGTGTCCTCGTATGTGAGTCTCAAAATGTTAGCATACAGGTACAGCAAGTAATTAGGGAGGCAAATGGAATATTGACCTTTATTGCCTGCTCTCTCAACATTGAAACCCCACTCTTGCAGGACTCACTGAGGAGCCATGACAACTTCTAAGCCTTGAAATGGGATCACTGAAGGAAAAGGTTTGGGAAGCAGTGTGGGCTAGATGCTGACAGGATATCTCCCTTTGTTGGGGAATCTAGAGCGAACTAGCACAGCTTTTCTTAAAAAAAAACAGTAAAAGTTCTCTCTCATTTGAGACTGGGATGAGGAGAAAATTCTTCTGAGACTCGCACATCTTTGGAATTCTCTACCCTAAAGAGCACAAGGTCACTGCATATGTTAAACAGAATTTTGATTGACCAGGGAACAGAGAGTTATGGGAGACAAGCAGCAGAGTTGGAAGTAAGGTCGCAAGTAGAATAAAATAGAATTTTACTGAATGATGTAACAGGCTTGAGCAGCCAAAATGGCCTGCTCCTGCTTCTACTTCTAATGATGTTATCTTAGTTTTCTCATTGGCCAAAATTCTCCTTTTTCAAAGTGTTTAGACATGTTTAGAGATTTATAGTTGATAAGCAAAGCTGATTATAAGGGTTTGTTTTTAAATAGTGAATGGAATAGTTTTTAACTGGGTAGAAAAATAACTGATTTGAAATCCTCTGGATTTGATGCTGTACGTCATGTTCACGCATGGCTCATAACTAGTGCTCATTCAGTTCCCATAGCTGAATACAAAATTAGCTCCCTAATGGAATAGCGAATATGAAAATTCTAGGAAATTGCCAATATTGGCCAAAGGGAGTCTTGATCAAGTGGAATCTAAAATGATGGCTCCTAAGATGTAACCAGAAAGTGGAAATGAGATCTATCTTGAAGCAGGATTCCCTTGGTCATTGATACTCATGGCAAAAATCTGTTCTTAATTTGACATTCAGTTCAATACAACTGACTTTGGAGCCAAAGCAGGCCATTCAGCCCATCATGCCTGCTCCACTATTCAATGAGATCATTCTCAACTCCACTTAGCTGCCGTAATCCTTCTTTCCCTTACTGATTAAAAAATCTTAATGACCCAACCTGTACAGCCCTTTGCTGTAAATAAATCCACAGATTCCCAACCCTCTGAGAGAAGAAGCTTCTCCTCATCTCTGTCTTAAATGGGTGATCCCTTAATCTTGGATTACACTCTCTAATCTTTCCCACAAGGGGAAAACAACCTTTCTGCATCTACCCTGTCAAATTGTCTTAAGTTTCTTGTATGTTTCAATAAGGTTGCCTCTCATTCTTCTAAAATCCAATGAGTACAGGTCCAGCCTACTCAATCTCTCCTCATAAGACAGTCCCTCCAGACCTGGAGTCAACCTAGTGAACATTCTCTGGATTGCATCCAATGCCAGTATATCTTGCTTTAGATAAGAGGGCCGTAACTGCTCACTGTTTAGTCCTTTTCACTGCTATTTCTGATGAAGTCCAAATATCAGCAACAGAAGGAGTTGCCCTCCTTTGGCAGTATTGGGTATTGTTCAAGGCAAGATGTAGGAACAAGTTCTGCTGTTTGCAGCACAGTAGATCGAATTTTAACGGTCTGAGTCTGAGAATGTGAAGCCAGGTACCATCAACCAGAAGATCATTACCCAACATCCTCACTTTGAATCATTCATTCATTGCTTTAATTGACCGTTGTATTTGCTAGTTTGCAGTCAGGCCTCTTTAATGGAAGGAACAGAAAACATACTCGGGATCTGTATGGTTATCTAGCAGCAAGTTGACAACCAATGGTGCAATTATACACACACACACACACACACACACACACACACACACAGTTTGAAGTGTAAACCGATGCTATGACTGAAGGAGGATGTGTGATGGATACAGATGAAATCAGGAAACCTATCAGCAAGTTTCACTCATTCTTCCCATGCATAGATGAGCAAAGTTCTATTGTTATACAGGCCGCATTAGTTGAACTGAAAATACTTTACTTGTGTCACAATGCATGATAACCTAGCCAGATGAGATCTCAGTTTCCTTTCTGTCACTGAGTGTTCAACAAGCAGTGTTTGGAAAGTTCGGTTAAGGGGGAAATTTTTGTTTTAACGTTCTCAGTGAACCAAGACCTCTGTTCTTTTGTCATCTTCTCCACACAGGCAGAAACAGCAGCCAATCGAATCTGTAAAGTTCTGGCCGTTAACCAGGAGAATGAGCAGCTAATGGAGGATTACGAGAAGCTGGCCACTGACGTACGTGCAAATATTTCTCTCCAGCTGCATGACCAGAACCTGAGAATCGTGGAGATGTTTGTCACCTTGAAATTGAAATGGGTTGTTGATTCAAAAAAAAAGCCGTGGAGTACTATTTCAAAAATAAGCTTCATCAGGTTCTTGTGGGTAATCTCCCTCCACTTCCTCCTTCCATTCGCTTCACGTAAGTGCGCACCCATAGGGATCATCCTTTCTAAATACAGATTTTACAGCATAGAAAGAGGCCCTTCAGCCCATCTGGTCGATGCCAGCCATCAAGCACCAATTTTGCAATACTGGCCTGTAGACTTGTATGCTATGCATTTCAATTGATCATTTAAATACTTCTGAAATGTTGTGTTGGCTCTTTTCCTTTCATGCAGTAAATTCCAGGCAACCCCACCCTATGGATGAAACTCATTTTTCTCAAATCTCCTCTAAACCACCTGCCCTTACCTTGAGTCTATGCCCCCTGGTTATTGACCCCTCTACTAGGTGGAAAGATTTTCTCCCTGTCTACCCTATCTATGACCCTCATAATTTTGTACACCTCAATTAGGCCTGCCCCGCAGTCTTCTCTCCTTTTGAGGAGCACAACCCCAACCTGATTAGCCTTTCTTCATAGTGAATCGCTCCAGCCTAGGCAGCATTCTGGTGAATCTCCTCTGCAACTTTGTCGGTGGTATCTCATTGTTCCTGTGGTGTGGTGACCAGAACTGCATGCAGTACTCTAGCTGTAGCTGAACTAATATTATATACACCTCTATCGTAACCTCCCTACTCTTGTCCACGATGCCTCAACTAATAAACAAAAGTATCCTGTAGGCTGCCTTAACCACTTTATCTACCTGTCCTGTGCCTTCAACAACCATTGGGAATGCATACCAAGGTCTCTCTGATCCTCTGTACTTCCTAGGTTCCCACCATTCCACACATATTCCTTTGCTTTATTAGTCTTCCCAAAATGCATCACTTCATACTGTCAGGATTAAATTCCATTTGTGACTGTTCTACCCATTAAACTAGCCTGTCTAAATGTCCTGTAGATTAAGACTTCCTTCTCACTATTTACAGTACTATCAGCTTTTTTTTGTGTTATCTGCAGACTTGCTGATTATACCTCTACATTCATGTCTGGAACATTAATGTACACAACAAACGAACCTGGCACTGAACCCTAGTGCATGCCAGTGGACACAGGCTTCCAACTACAAAAACACCCATTGACCATCGCCACTACCTCCTGCCTCAAAGCCAATTTTGAATCCAGTTTACTAGATTGCCCTGTCTCTTCTTGACCAGTTTCCCAAGTGAGACCTTGTCCCAAGCTTTATTGAAGCCCTTGTGGACCACGTCAACTACGCTAACCTCATCGACACACCAAGTCACTTGCTCAAAAAAATTTCAATCAAATTTGTTAAACACAATTTTTCTTGACAAAACGATCATAAGAAGTCATTACCTCTCCAAGTGGGGATTAATTCTATCGCTTTTTTTAAACAATAGATTCCCTACTACTAATGTTTGACTTACTGGCGTGTATTTTCCTGGTTTATCCCGTTCTTGAAGAATGTACCAAATTAGTTATTCTACAGTCACTTGTAGCAATTGATAAATGTTGGTGCCCCTCAATCTCCCCCTTGCCTCCCACAGTAACTTAGGACACATCTCATCTAGGCCTGAGCATTTATTCACGTTTAAGCCTGGTAAAACCACTGACACATCATCCCCCTCAAGGTTAATTTGTTCAAGTATATCACCGTGAGACTCCCTGATTGCTGTATCGACATTGTCCTTCTCTGTACTGAATGCAAATGTAAAGTACTCATTTAGAACCATACCTATTCTTTTTAGCTTCACGCACACTCACATTGTCACCTTTTACGATGTCCCTCCTTTGGCTTGCCTGAAGATTGTACACACTGGAATATTGAGCTACCAGTCCTGTCCCCCCCTCAATCAATCCAGCAGTTACAACACTAGCAAACCCCCTGACCCTCTCCACACACACACAAGATCTCATTCCTGTTCAGGTACAACCTGGCAGACTTGTACAGGTCCCATGTCCCCCACAAACGGACCCAGTGATCTAGGAGAATAAAGCCCTCCCTCTTGCACTAACTCTTCAACAAGATATTTATCGGCTGTATCCATCTATTCCTGTACTCACTAGCACATGATACTGGCCATAATCCAGGGATTACAACATTAGAGATCCTGTTTTTCAGTCTACTACCTAGCTCCCTAAATTCTTGTTACAGGACCTCACCCCTCGTTCTTGCTTTGTTGTGAGTACCAATATGAACCTGTGATCTTCAACTTCCCCCTTATAGAATGGCATGCAGCCATTCAACAAAATCCTTGACTCTAGTCCCAAGGGAGGCAACACACCTTCCCAGAGTTATATCTGTGGTTGCAGGAACACCTGTGTGTACACCTTACTATTGACCACTATTGCTCTTTCTCCTCCCTTCTTTTCCCCCAGAGGAACCCTGACCATTTTCCAACACAGCAAAACTAGGCTTGAGTGAGATGCACTCTGGTCCTTCCCTGACTACCTCCCAAGCCGCCTCCTTCTGAATGATAGCTACCTATTCCCTCTCTGTCTGCACTTGCTCAAGCCGTGGGGTGACCACATCGTAAAAAAAAAATGTGCTGTCCACGTGATTCTCAGATGCCTGAATACACTGCCGTACCTCCAACCTTGCTGAGACTCTAAAACTGCTCGCAGCATCGGCACCTCCTGCAGATGTGGTCATCCATTCCTCCTGGAGTGTCCATGACTTCCCACACGCTGTAAGCCATTGCGACACACAGGACCGAGCTGCCCTGCCATGTCTCCCAATTAAATACACTCAGCCTAAATTTAAAACAAGTAGAAAATTAATTCAGTTTGTTTTTCAAAAAGGAAGCTGGGATTCTTACCATTACTTAATGTAGCTTTGAAGTGGAGACTTGGCGAATCAGATCTCTGCTTTGTGCTGACTTTGGCCTTTATTCAAATAATAAAACTCCATTGAGGCAGTGGAACAGCTGTAAACTAACAGTCCTAAGATATAGAAATGTGCAATTATTTTCATCACCTCTCTGTATAAATTAATTCTTAATTTTGTGGGTCATCCCATTTTATGATGGTCTGGATTGTTTGCCGCTTTTGTGTTGGAAGACTCGATTGCTAGTGCTGACCCATCACACACTTATTATGCAGAATAAATCGGTTCTCCCTTTGTAATTTGGTATTGTTCTATCAGTCCTGTGTGGCTTCCAGCAATGTGCATAATTTTTAATACAAGTTAAACCTACAAATAGGAGACCTTTTAAAAGGCACACAGATCTGAACAGACTTTTCATTTTATTTCTTAAATTTGCAGTTCCTATTTCTGCTTTTGGGAACTTCTGCACTGGTTACTATAAAATACATTAAAAATATCTTAGTGTTAGAGTCATTTGAACTGATCCTTTTGCAAATGAGGAGGATTAGCTGGCTGGGATGCCAAGCAGGTCCTCTTGCCAACGATTTACTGTATGCCCTCCTCCCAGCAATCTGTGCCCTGAGAGTGAGAGGGAGCATGTCACACAGCAGGAGCCCTAGCTGCCCTGTGGGGCTCTACTCACGAAAGGAGACTGAATAACTGAGCTCTGGTAGTATCAAGAGGAGCAAATGGACTGTGTGCCTATGTGATTTGATGCTGTAGTGCTGCGCCCTAGGTTGACATGGCACAGAAAAAAAACAAGCATTACACTTAGCACTAACTAGACTCACCTCATCATCAATGAGGAAGCATCCACACCAGATTAGAACTGGAAGACAAAGATTACCTTCATTGTTTCTTGAATCATTTACAATGCTACATGAGAAAAGACCACCTCCTATCAATAAACCACGCACACCATTTATATCTTTACCATTCAATGTCCTGGAACAACTTAACGCCAAAAGAGAACGAACTGGGACTGGTCAAGCAAATCTCCAGTACGTACCTCTCTCGTCCCCAAAAGTAAGCCCAAGGCTTCAAGAAACTGCAATACCTAGCTCTGGCCCTCACCGTCTCTCTAGCAAATGTACCTGACAACACTGCTGCTTACTGAGCACTGAAATTTCCTCCGTCTTTAATGGAAGACATTGGCAGCGAAAGGAGCTCTGTAATTACACACAATATGCTAAAATGCAGATGGTTATCCATGGCTAGCCAAATCTAGCAAGTGGCTGGTAGCCATATTCGTTTCTCAGTATTACATCCAAACGAGTAGGATGGAATGTAAAATGGCAACCAAATAAAAATCTTCCACTCAGAAAATGTGTGCCTAGAATCAACTTTGCCTCAATCGTTTACAACATTTCCAAATGTGGGATATAATACGTGTTCAGCATTCACCAAACATATCATAACATCCTCCATTAATGAAATAGCCAACTGTCTGTACGAAATACTCTCCCATAGCTGCACTGTTCCATTTATGTTCATCAGAATTCACTTTTGTGTGCAAAGTGGGGTGGTGTAGCCTCTACCTAACTAGAGAATGGTTTACGAGCTTTCTGGGCCACTCATTGCACTTGTTCTGTTATAGCTCCTGGAGTGGATCCGACGCACCATTCCCTGGTTGGAAAACCGTGCCCCGGAGAACACCATGCAGGCCATGCAGCAGAAACTAGAGGATTTCCGAGACTACCGGCGCCTCCACAAACCACCCAAGGTGCAGGAGAAGTGCCAGCTGGAAATCAACTTCAACACCCTGCAGACCAAACTGCGACTCAGCAACAGGCCAGCCTTCATGCCATCGGAAGGCAAGATGGTGTCGGTACGTATAAATACAGCACCTCCTTTCTGAATCTGGACTGGAGAGGCCATTCCATTGTGAACATTCAAAGATGAGATCTCCGGTTGACTCTTGGTTTCTGCATGTAATTTAGCCAACTACCTTTTTTTTAAAAGGCATACATTCTTTATATAGTCAGGTCGTCGGTGAAGCAATGCAATGGTGTACACACAGCGCCTAATGTAAGAATGCAGTTCTGTAATTTTAATGCATATTTACATAATTTTACCCATCCCACCCACTACTTCCTGGTATCTGCTTTTTTTTCTGTCTTGTTTTGACAGTACTGTTAATAAGTTAAATATTTGCATGTTTTTAACCCAGTTGGTTAGCCTATATACAAAATCTTCAATGTTCCTACATACAGTATGGTCTATGAATACATGCCTTGAACAAAATATCTTTCTTGATTTTTATTGTAATAATTAAATTCTAAGACTGCACGGTGTAAATTTTGATCTCTGGTTGCAGTAGCTGTGTCACTTGCACAAATGAACCTGTAAATAAAAATAGTGAGAGCTCCATTTCCAATCCCGTTTCTCACCGGGCCATGTTGACTCTTTATTTTTTTTTTTAAGAAGTGCAAATCCCAAATCATAGAATTCCTACGGTGTGGAAACAGGCCATTCGGCCCAACAGTCCACACCACCCTCCGAAGAGCCAGACTCATCCCCCTATTCTTTCCCTGTAACCCTTCATTTCCCATAGCTAATCCACCTAACTTACACTTACCTGGACTCGGTAATTTAGCATGGCCAATCCTCTTAACATGCACTTCTTTTGACTGTGGGAGGAAACCGGAGCACCCAGAGGAAACCCAAGCAGACACTGGGAGAATGTGCAAACTCCACACAGACAGCCGCCTGAGGGTGGAATCAAACCCTAGTCCCTGGTGCTGTGAGGCAGCAGTGCTAACCACTGAGCCACCGTGCTGCCCCTGATATGTTCATTGTTTTTTCCTGCCAAAGACAGATTCTGTGTAGGATTATAATGAAATAAGAATGGGAGACAATAGTTCCTCCATTACAACCCCTCGACAATCTGAATTGGCATGTGAAAAGGGTGTGGATTTGTTAGCAAGTTAGAGTCTCTGACTTGCTGACAATTCCAAACCCTTTTTACATGCAGTGAAAATTGGTGTTCCCTCAGAAATTTGGCATCTATCCTGATGCATATGAGACAAAAACCTTCAGTGGCATGGCTTGTTTTTCAAGTTCTGCACTACCACATTAATGTTTGTATTTTGCTGTACACCACAATATCCAGATTATTTTATCATTTGTTTTAATTGCTCATTTTAAATCTGACTGGGAAAAGGGATTTGATGAAGGTAGGTCACAGACCACCTACTATCCCAATGAATGGAGGTGAGGCCCTTTTTTGCCTCTGAGGGCCCTTCTTGATGTCTTCTTTTGGTTATCAAGGACTACTTTATCAGTTTCATTGTCTCAGTTATTAGGTGATGCAGTCACATAGTAACATTACATTCTGGTTTTTTACAGAATAATTGCTGCATACACAAAGCCATTGCCCTAAACATATCTTCCAAATTGGTTCGATTACACCTAATACATCTCTATTGTATATTCACAAAACTGGAATATTTTTGATAGGCAGCTACTACCATTTTCACAAGACTTCAGATCTTGATCTCATTTTTAAATTTAATAGTTGACAGAGTATTCTTTACAGTAGTGTCTGGTGTATTTCTTTTCCATGTTTACAGCTCCTCAACAGATGCAGCCTTATTCAAGAGATTCCACATTCATTTGCAAGTAATTCATCACTTCAATGATTCAATATTTTCCTAGCTCCGAGAGAGCTGTTTGTGCCCTTTTTGGACAAGTTTGAAACTGTCCTCTCCCTCTTTTTATAAACTTCCCCCTCTCATTGCCCGTGCAGCCACCCTCTTCTCCACACCCCGTGCAGCCTTTGAAGATGACTTATCTTTCCTGTCCACCGCAATCTCCTTTTTTCCCCACCGTGCACTCCCCCAACAGACTCCCTGACCCCACAGCCCCAGGCTCTCCTGTTTCTCCCAACTCCTTTCCCTTCCCATCACCCCTGGACCCAGCAGACAGACTGCTGCCCCTGCGGATAGCCATTTCCTGACTCCTTTCCGGCCTCAACAAAAAGGCTGCCCTTTGCAAAGTGTTGGCTGGCTCTTAGCGCTGGATCCCGCTCCCCTGCTCTCAGCCACTGGCAGACCCTCCCTCGAGATTCCCTCACTGCTAGAACTTCCTTTATAATAGCTGTTCCAATCACAGATTGTTTCCTTCCTGCACTTGTTGCTGGTAGGCTCACTAATTAACCCATCAGCAGCAGGCATTGGAGGGAACTAGCCTATGATTGGAGGAGCGGTTCCTCATTGTTTGCTTCCATCCAACATATGGGGACGACCTTTGGCTGCCTGTGATTGAACTTTCCTGCCCATTTTGGGAATCCCAGGTGAGAGGAGTCACGTGCTGTCCCCCATGTATTTTGAGTCCTAGTCACCCTTTAGAAGATGGGTTTGGTTGGCCATCTTGAACATGAGCAAATCATGTAGCGCGGGCACTCCCACTCTTGTATTAGTTGGGGAATTCCTGGAGTTAAAATGCAGATACTTGCATGTTAAAATGCAGCCCCAATGTCAACCATTTCTGCTCATGCCCAAAATTGGCTGGGCCCTTTCAGACCTGGGGAGGTGATGACCTAGCGGTATTATCGCTGGACTGTTAATCCAGAGACGCAGATAATGTTCTGCGGACCTGGGTTCGAATCCCACTACGGCAGATGGTGGAATTTGCATTCAATAAATATCTGGAATTAACAGTCTAATGATGACCGTGAATCCATTGTCGATTGTCAGGAAAAACCCATCTAGTTCACTAATGTCCTTTAGGGAAGGAAACTGCTATCCTTGCCTGGTCTGGCCTACATGTGACTCCAGACCCACAGCAATGTGGTTGACTCTTAACTGCCCTCTGGGCAATTAGAGATGGGTAATAAATGCTGCCTAGCCAGCAACACCCTCGACCCGTGAATGAATAAAAAAAAAAGAAAGTACGTGTCTTCCTGAAGCCAACCATATTTCCCTCAATGGTGTTCGTCTTGGATCCATTTACGGCTTTAATTCCTTTTGGAGAAAGTGGGCTTCTGTGAAACAATGAACCTCGCAGGTCATTTCTTTGACTTCCTCATTGGAATCCGCTGCAGTGAATCATGCTACGTCACAAATGTTAAAATAGAAAAGTAAGGGCGAATAGGAATGCTGTTCACGGACATGTGAAACACGATTAAACATCTGCTTATCCAACCTACATACAAAAGAGAATTGTTACAGCTTTGAACATCATCAATTTCTAGACTTGTGGTTGACCTGATAATTGTACAAATGTTGAAAGGTGTCAGTGCAGTAGTTTAATAAGAAGTTCATTTTAACATCGAGTTAAGATTGATTTCTCTAGACCTTGCACAGTGAGTAGCTGAGCCCAGGTTCAATCCCCAGTGGATTTCCCCATGGAAAGCAGTGGCCTATTTACACTCTTTCCATGGTTTTGGTTTGGAGAGGAGAAAGTGAGTCTGTGTTTATGCTCCCTATTCTGATCTCTCTCGATCAGAAGGCATTGGCCTAATGGTATTTTCGCTATACTATCAATCCAGAATCCCTGGAATTGTTCTGAATACCCAAGCTCAAATCCCACCACGGCAGATATTGGAACTTAAATTCAATAACAATCCGGAATTAAGAATCTAATGATGACTGTTATCAATTGTTGGAAAAACTTTAGAGAAGGCAACTGTTATCCTTATCTCATATGGCATGCATGAGACTGCAGATCCTGGCTTAACAGCCTTCTTAGCAATTAGAGATAAGCGACAGATGCTGGCTCAATACCCGCATTCTATGAATGAATTATAAAATAACTCCTGTATGTCAATGTAAATGTGGGCAAGGACAGAGCTATGAGTCATAGTTCAATAATCCTCACTTTATTAACCTTCTGGAGTGGAAGCTTATTACAGGAAGAGGTTACTATCTCAGGAGGAAGGTGAATTTATTTAACAGGAAACATAAGAAAGACGAGAAGTGTGTAGGACCCTGAACAGAGCATTCAGCGACGCTGATTGGCAATGTAACATTTCAAAAGATCATTCCCATGTCATTAAACACTGCTAAAGATTTATTCTCAGTAAGCCTGGCATTTGGGCAACAGGCAAGGAAGGTCGCCAAACTGAGAAGCTGTTAACTGTCTCAGACTCCTGTCCCTGTGAAATGGGAAGTCTGTGGAATATATAATCCTCTCCTCCAGCCCCCAGGAAATGGAGTTTTCAGTCCCTGCAAAAAGAAAATAAATGACTGGATGAGTGCGGCTCCAATAACACTCGAGAAGCTTGACTGCATTCAGGACAAAGCAGTCTGCTTTATTGGCACCTGTGCACCCCTTTCAACATGAACCCCCTCTATGGCCAATGCCCAATAGTAGCGCTGTGTACTGTCTACAAGATGCTGTTCAGTAACTCACCAGGACTCCTTTTGACAGCACCTTCCAAACCCACAATCTCTACCATGTAGAAGGACAGGGTAGCAGATGCATGGGAGCACCACCCACTGCACGCTCCTTTCCAAGCTACATACCAATCTGATTTGGAACAATTTCACTGTCACTGGGTCAAAATCCTAGAAAACCCTTCCTCATAGCATTGTGGAAGTGCCTACACCATATGGGCTGTAACAGTTCAAGAAGGCAGTTCACCACCACCTTCGCAGGTGGCTCGGGAAATTTGGCATGTCCATAATGTCCCTCACCAACTTCTACAGATGCACCATTGAAAGTATACTGCCTGGGTGCATAACAGTCTGATAAGGTCCTGGGCAGAGCAGTTGCCATAAGAAACTGCAGAAGGTGGTGTGCACAGCCCAGACCATCACAGAAGCCAACCTTCCATCCATGGACTCTATTTACATGGCTCACTGCCGCGGAAAGGCTGCCAACATCATCAAAGACCTATCACACCCTAGTAATGTTCTCCTACAACCTCTTCTATCAGGCAGAAGATACAAAAACCTGAACACATGCACAAGCAGGTTGAGGAACAGCTTCTTTCTGGCTGTTATCAGACTATTGAATGGACTCTAGCCTCAAATAATGTAACCCCTGTGCCTCTAAGTCTTTTTGATCTGTACATTTTTTTTTTCTTTATTCATTCATGGGATGAGGGCATCGCTGGCTAGGCAGCATTTATTGCCCATCCCTAATTGCCCAGAGGGCAGTTAAAAGTCAACCATATTGCTGTGGGTCTGGAGTCACGTGTAGGCCAGACCAGGTAAGGATGGCAGTTTCCTTCCCTAAAGGACATTAGTGAACCAGATGGGTTTTTCAGACAATTGCCAATGGATTCATGGTCATCTTTAGATTCTTAACTCCAGATATTTTATTAAATTCAAATTCCACCATCTGCCATGGTGGGATTCGAACCCAGGTCCCCAGAACATTATCTGGGTCTCTGGATTAATAGTCCAGTGATAATACCACTCGGCCATTGCCTCCCCAAATATCCTTTGCTTGCTGTGATCTGCCTGTACCGCTCATAAAATTTTTCACTGTATTTCAGTACATGTGACAATAAATCAATCAATCAGTAAATGCTGGCCCAGCCACATCCCATGAAAGAGTAAGGAAAAAACCTACTTGGGTTCCTCTCGATCCCTTACATTATGTGGTGCCATAATGTGGAAGTAGAATCCAGATGCATGAGAAAGGAAAAAGTGGGATGGGAGATTTAATCTCGAAAGTTCTTTCTCAGTCTTCCTTCTCCTTGCAGCCTGGTACTGACACAGACACAGAGCAGATTAACTTGTAGGCATGGGACAAAGGGAGAAAATGAACAAAGCAAAACAGATTAACTTATGGATTGTACAAAAAAGAAAATATATTGAATGAATGCATAAATGCATATTGGCTTCAGTGCTTAGTTTAAGTAGAATAGCACTTCACTTAACCTGTTTGGTCTGCTTTTTCTTCCTTTGACAGTCTGAGCCAATCCTAGGTAGCCATTGATGCCAACTGACTACTTGGCCACATTTTATCTTTAGACCTCTGTACATGCAGAAGGCTCGATCTGTTTGTTACTGCAGATCAATTTAAATTAATTAATTTAAAAATTCACTGGGATTAACAGACTTTGCAACCTTGTCTTTATGGGATTCCCCCTTTAAAAAAAGAAGTACTCAGAAATCATTCCACACAGCCGTCCAGATAACAGTGGTAGTCACATGTTATCCTCGTCTTTTTTCTAATGAGGCATTAAAGTAACGATATCATCAGTGAATGTAGTGCATAATCAGGGCAGTAAAGATCCTGCTGAAGGTGTGGGCTGGTTCAATTCTGAATCATGAAGTTCATTCCTTAGTGGAGTGGTAGGGGTAGTGGAGTGGTCAAAAGTGGTAGGGACATGGAATGCATTGCCAGAGAGGGTAGTGGAGTCGGCCTCATTAGGGGCATTTCAGCGGCTATTGGATAGGCATATGGATGATAGTACAAGGTAGCGGTGGAGGTTAGATGGACCTTAGGTTTTGGGAAAAGTTCGGCACAACATCATGGGCCGAAGGGCCTGTACTGTGCTGTACTGTTCTATGTTCTATGTTCTATGTTATGAAGTACATAGATGCAGGAAGACAGCGTCTTTTGTCTTTAGGATGCCAAAGGCATTGTTCAAATAATGCATTCACTTCGTGTAAGTTCACGCATTGTGACTGTGGCTTTAATGATGCCTTTGCAATTGCTGATGAAATTTATAGGGTATCCTGAGAAATGCACCTTGTTCAGATCTACTCTGTTGTGCAAACTGTGCTGGATTCTATTAATATAAACACATTCTTTTCTTAATGTGCAGAAACAACCAAGTCTTTTTTTTTATATAAAGGACTCGTTTGTGAGAGGCGAAAGTCTCTGGCAAGGCCAGCATTTGTTGTGTGGTCATAACTGGCCTTCACAAGGTGGTTCTTGAACCAACCCAGTGGTGATGGAAGAATGGAGATTTAGTTCCAAGTCAGAACAGTGTGTGACTTGAAGATGAAACTGCTGGTGGTGGCGGTGTTCCCATGCGTTCTGCTGCCTTTGTCCCCTCAGTGGTAGAGGTTGTAGATTTGAACGGTGCCATCAAAGGAACGTTTTGCTGCAGTGCATCTTGTAGATGGTACACTCTACTGCCACGGTCAGGAGTGATCATTTAATTTGATGTGATAGCCAAGCAGGCTCCTGTTCTCGTGGTTGGTATCAAGTTTCAGAAGTGTTGGAACTGCACTCATCCAGACAAGTGGAGAGTATTCCAACACAGTCCTGACTTGTAAATGGTGGACAGGGATTCAGGAGGTGAGTTACTTGATGCAGCAAACCCCAGTCTCTGACCTGCTTTCATGTGCCAAATTTTTTTATGGCTGGTCTGGCTCGATTTCTGGTCAAAGCTAATCCCCAGGATATTGATGATGGTGAAAGAAATCCACGATGGTAATGTCATTGAATGCCAAGGAAAAGTGTTTAGAGTTGCTCTTGTGGAGGTGGTCATCTGACTATTTGTGTAACTTGCCACTTAGCAGTTATGTTTTCAATTCAGGAGGTCAGTTTGATTGGTCTTCATATTTGCATTGAATTGGTTTCATGGTGTTGGGATCCATTCAGAATTTGGAAATCAATTTGATCAGGCCAGAGGTGGTGTAAGATGATGCTGCTGGGTTGATGAATGGAATTGGGGATTCCAGCGCTAACCTTATACTGTGTCTCTAATTGTACTTCATGCTGATTGCAGGATATAAACAATGCCTGGGGCTCATTGGAGCAGGCCGAGAAAGGTTATGAAGAATGGCTGCTCAATGAAATCAGAAGGTTGGAGAGACTGGACCATCTGGCTGAAAAGTTTAGACAGAAAGCTGCAATCCACGAGGCTTGGACCAATGGTAAATATTTTACTGCCTAAAGGCACAAGAGGTTCACAGGAAAAGTCAATGTCTGGAACATTTTGCATCCCTTAGGCTACATGCCACTGAATGTCGGACTGTCTCAGTCAACGGCAGCCTAGAGTGGAAGGTGGTTTTATATTAGCCATTTTTGTTGTTCACATCCTTTGGCCTGATATCCATCCAACAAATGGCAAGGTGATTGGCAGAAAGGGTAATGTTTGATTTGCAGTGGTCATTCTTGGTTATATTGCTAAATAATGGCTCCCAGGAGTCATTCATCATAACATGCCATTGGAGCAATCAATTTTTCTTCAGTAAACTGCTGTAAACTCAGACTCCTTACTTTTGAAGAGTTTGTAAACTTTCTCACATAGAATCACAGATTCCCTAGGAATGCCTGTCTCATTCTCCTTGCGGCTGTCAATTTGTGCTAGCAATTATTTGGATGCCCTCCTGAGTATTGTCATGGAGTCACAGGGATCAACAGCACAGACAAATGGCCCTTCAGTCCATTGAGTCTACATTCTGTATTAGGCATGCACCTCTGGAAGGATACACTGGCCTTGAAAGAACTGGCAGTGAAGATCTACCAAGATAATTAAATGCTTCCAGCACTGGTGTTACGTGGACCAATTATGTAAATGTGGCTTTGAGCTGTCTTTAGAAAGTTGGTAAGGGTCTAAATCAAGTTGAAAGGATTTGAAAGCAAGGCACTCACTTCCTCTAGTCGAAGAATTCAGAACAATGGGATACAATCTTTAGGTTAGAGCTCGACCATTCAGGGGTGAAATCAGGAAGCAATACTTCACGCAGGGGATAGTAGGAAAGTTAACTTCCCTCCCCCAGAAAGGCAGTGTGCGCTGAGTAATTCAAGGATTAAGCTCAAGTGGGCAGATACAGGGCAGCCATGATCTGATTGAATGACAGAACAGGCAAAGGGATTGAATGACATCCCCTTTGGCCTGTGTTTAAATCGGGTAATTTGGACTACGAAGGCCCGCAAGCTTGCTTCATGTAGGGTCCTTCCAGCTGGCAGAGGGAGAAAGGAAGATGTCCTTATCCCCTCAATCTACATTTCAGGCTGACACCTCTGAAGTGATGAAATGGCTCACTCCCACACTTTGTGGAAATAAGTATTCCGAAACACAGCTATTTTAGAGCAATGCATCACTTCCCTCCTCCGCCCACAGTTAGTCTGTGCTACCAGACCCGTTTGCGGCACAGTTACAAACATATCAAGCTCGTAGCAAAAATAAACGTGTTATCCTGCTGAAGTCTTACATAATGTGCCTGTTTGGAAATCACTTTAATGTTGATTTGCAGGTCGGTGTTAAACAGGGCTCCTACCCAGCCAACATTGGTGCAGTTTATAGCACAACACAGTGGAGCATTCTGGTTTTTGCAGATTGAATCAATCAACTTGAATAAATTCCAAGGTGATTACAATCCACACATCTATTCTCCCTCACAGTTGTGGATACAGTCGTTTTCATTTCGTAATGCCCCAGAAGTCCTTTGGTGTTCATTTAGTTACATCAGATTCCTCTGGGCAATTAAGTTTAGTCCAGATTTTTCCACATGTCTCCCTCTCTCTCTTGTTTTGCCACTGAAATATCCACAAGGATGGCCTCAAGTGACTTGGTATTGTCAACTGTAATTTTTAAGTGTATTATTTTGTTTGCCTGGCTCATAGGATGTGCTTGGTTTCTGGTTAACATTTAGATCAATGTCACTGACTATGTCCTGGCTACAATGAGGAGCTATGACACGAGTGTGCAGCCTGTTGCTCCTTGATGCTGTTTTTGTCCACCACTGTGCTACAGTGTCGTTCTGCCTTTTTAAAAGCCAGCGTTGAACAGGAAGTAATTTTCGGATTGCACTGAGTGCTAGGTTAACCCACTTATAAGGAGGTGGCATGAAGTGTGTTTGGAACTGCATGCGTGTGTTTTAATCTTACCAAACAGATCGAAGGCATTTTCCAAAGGAAAGGAAGTTGACTTTAGAGATTAACCTGCCTTGCCTTTTCATGAACCATCTTGCAGCTGGTTACTTGGCAGTTTGGGATTAGTCAAGCTGGTTAATGATCCATTGTTATCTTAGTAAGTTGTCGATGACTTGAAAGGATCCAGTGATGAGAAATGATGATAATTATCAGGAGTAACTCTATTATTCTAGTGCACAGAGTGTTGTGTGTATATGGAATGAGGAAGTGGTAGATGCAGGAACAGTTACAACATTTGAAAGATGTTTGGACAGGTTTAGAGCGATATGGGCCAAATGCAGGCAAATGAAACTTAGTTCAGTTTAGGAAATCTGGTTGGCATAGATGAGTTGGGCCAAAGGGTCAGTATAAGTGACATGGTTTGTTCAATAAACAATGAAAAGAGCTGGAATTTATATTGTGCTTTTCACGGTCACTTCAAATCTCGCTGATTTACAGCCAGTGATGTACTTTTGGAAGTAAAGTCAATCTCGTAATATAGGAAAATACAGCAGACAATTTGCAGTCTCCCACCAGTCATGGAAATATTTATTTTTGTGACGTTTGTTTGAGGAATAAACTTGAGTAAGAAAATCAATTCTTTGACACAGCACACCTGAGAAGGTAGATATGGGCCTCAGTTTAATGGGCGATCTGAAAGTCAGTACCTCCTGAGAGTGCAGTGCCCCTTCAAGTGTTGTAACTGGAGCATCAGCCTTGATTTTTGTGCCAAAGTGCTGGAATGGGACTTGAACCTGGAAGCTAGTGATTCAGAGGTGCGAGTGCTACTGACTGAGCCACAGCTGACACCCTAAGCAAGAACTTAGATTTCCATAATGCTCTTCACACGTAAAGGATGTCTGTGTATTTTAGTACATGTTGGAGAAAAGAAAACCAGTAGATGCTGAAGATAGGGAGAAAAGGAGAAAGAGAGAGGTTTTCGAGTCTTGCATCTTCAAATGGGCCATTTGGCCCTTCAGATCTGAGCTGACTCTTTGAGAGAACTGTCCCATTTAGTCCCATGTGCCCTATCTTTTCCTGTAGCCTTGAAAATTGCTTCTCTTCAAATATCTATCAATGTTCGTTCATAAATTTCAAATACACATCCGGTTGTTTTGTTTTTGCTCCTTTGGCGTTACTCTTGCATGACCACGTACAAATCATAACAGTCTCCTATGTGAAAGATATTTCTGCTCTGGTTCATTGGCCAATTACTTTAAGTCTGTGACTTTTGGTGACCGCTCCAGGGAAATAGTCTTGCCCTATTCGCATCGTCAAAATCGCTCCTGATTTTGAAGAAGGGTTTGGAGATGTTAAAAGCACAGCAGAGGAGAGTAATTGGCAGGAGGCTTTTTACATCCAACAGAGGGGTAATAAAAAGAGATGGCAAAGAATTAGCTGCCAATTGTTCGAAGGAGTGGTCACAAACAGTGCAAGAGTGAGGAGTCACTGGTTAAGAAACAAAATGGCCCTGCTTGGATAGACAGACGGAGATTGTGGCACTAGGGAAGTATTTGAAATCTTGAATGATAGTCTTTAATCACAAATTGTCTGCAGCACAGGGGGCCAGTATATCTTGGCAAGGATGGAGTGTAGGTAAGGGATGTAAGCTACGAGTTCCTAAGTTGAGATGTAGTCAGTAGAGGCTGGGGAGCAAGGAGCGCATTGGAGCTACGAGTAGTTTTATCAGATTCTGCAGCAGACCACTCAATTGCTTGAACATAGTGGATAGTGGGAAATTGTGTAGGTTGGTGTATGGAGCTGTAAGGAAACATAGCCAACTTTCCCACACTGCACCTGGACAGATCCAGCAAAATCGCCCTCCATCAACTTCTGAGGTGATAAAGGCATGCGTTGGATTTTCAGTGGCTGAGGAAAGGGGATCATTTGTGAGGTAGAAGAAGGGGACCTTGGAAATTCGTGTTTGCAGGGAGCAGCAAGGGTTTCAGGCTTGACAGTATGGCTGAGGATCTGTATGGCTGGGTTTATTCAAATTCTGGTAACAGATGGATGATTGTAACGAGTGGCAATGCTGTGGGGATAAATAGAGAAGATGAAGAGATAAGTTGCTGGTTGCTGTTTCGTAACGAAGTGGTCAGTGTCACTAACATGCGTTCCTTCCCCTAATTACCTGAAATACGGTGCCTGTTTCATTAAAATACCTTAGATTTTGTTAATGGACTGTACACGTCATTGTGACTTGTATCTAACTCCCTGTTTCAGGTAAGGAGGAAATGCTGATGGCAAAGGATTTTGAGACAGCGACCTTGTCTGAAGTGAAGGCTATATTGAAAAAGCACGAGGCCTTCGAGAGCGACCTTGCAGCTCACCAGGACCGTGTTGAACAGATCGCTGCAATCGCCCAGGAGCTGAAGTATGTATCTTGGTGAAGTTTTGCTTTTAAAGAAGGCAAAGGATTGGAGCTGTCCTGAGTGATTGCTCCGTGGAAGATATCCCTCAGGGATATTTTAATCCAAACAAATTGGTCGAAGTTGGTTTGCCGGCCCTGGTTGTGTGTTTCCTCTGATCAGAAGGCTGCCTGTTGCCTAATTGAAGGCGAGAGACTTTGAAATGCAACTCGGCATTGTTTACACACACACACACATAGCTTCCTCTTGGCAGGAGTGTGAGGGTGGAGAGGCTTTAGTATCCAACTGAAACATTGGGCAGAAAAAACATCCTGCCACTCTGTGTGCCTTATGCCAGCTGACATAAGGCTTGTAAAACTAGCTTGTCTGCTTCTCCCATTTGGAAGAAAAGGAAAAAGGTGACAAAAAGAGATAAGCGGCAGAAGACAAATACTCATTCCCCCCTCTTCCCCCTGTTGCTTGCATGGGCCTTGCAGAGGCCCATCTCATTGATCTGTAGTGCGTTGGTCCTTCAGGGATGACAGCCATTTGTTGTGCTTTAAGTCTCATGCCTATAGCTGGAATCACTGGTGTAGTAAGAACTGAGTAATGCCGTGCTCCTACACTGACTCATTTGTGTGAAAGGTTTTGTTAATTCTTTAATAGAGTGTAGGTGGCATTGACAAGGCCAGCATTTGTTGCCCTTGAACTGAGTGCCTTAGTAGGCCATCAGGAGGCAGTTAAGAGTCCCCCACATTGGTGTGGGTCTGGAGTCCCTTTAGATCAGATGGCAGATTTTCTTCCGTAGGGGATATTAATAAACCAGATGTTTTTTGTGACGATTGTTTCACAGTCGCTGTTCTTGAGCTAAAAAATTGAATGCGCTGGAGAAACTCGACAGGTCTGGCAGAATCTGTGGTGAAGAATGGGAAGAAGAGTCATACGGGACTCAATGTCAGCTCTGTTTCTCTCTCCACAGACACGACCAGACCTGCTGAGTCTGTCCAATATTTTCCGTGTGTATTTCTGATTTACAGTGTCCGTAGTAGTGTTCTCTTATTATACCATTCCTGACTCTAGTTTTCACTTCCAAATTTTACTAATTGAATTTAGATTCTACTGGCTGCCATGGTGGGATTTGAACACACATTCCCAGAGCATTAGCCTGGACCTTGAGATTATTAGTCCAATTTTATTGCCAATGTACCACCTTCTCATCCCAGGGTATAACCTACGATATGGCCCTAGTTAGAATGAAGCTTTGAGTTAGTAGTCCATGGGCCGTTCTTGTCTTTTTGCAAAGGAGTTGCATAGTCCATTAGTTAAATGTTGGACTTATGTGAGTATGGCATGGATTTGGTGAAGGGTTAGGCATGATGGGGAGTAGTGAAGTGTAAATGGGCACATGCAGTTTCTTGTGTTAGCATCAATATGGCCAAGCTGGAGGACAGAAAGAGTAGTAAGGTTCCAGCCAAGTTGTATTATATCTTACAGTGCCTTTTGAGATTTTATCCAACAGCTGGAATATCTATCTTACCACAAAATATATCCTGAGGAGCTAAACACTCAACTGTCTCTGGATTTGTCGTGATTTACAGCAGTAAACAATGTTAAGATCCTGGGGTCTCTTCCAATATCCGTCTCTGGGCCTAGTCATGACGATTTTTTTTTTGGCAGCTGTGCAGTTTTGTTCGAAACCATAGTGCCATGAGTTTATTTCTCTGGAAAATAATGCTAAATTTTCTAATCCTTCACGGTTTGCTTTCTCCCAAATTGGAATTCTGGAGGTGTCTGCGGTCTGCCAACTATTTTTGTGGGTAGGTTTCCTTACCTGAGCTTAGGTACTGAGTCTCATCACGCATTTCATCAGTGGGCAGCAAGAGTGATGTAGGATAGGCTCTGACCAGTCTTCCGAATACCCGACCCCCTCTCTCAAACCGCAGTGCTGCTTCTCGTCCAGGGTTCGGCCCCTTTACGATTGAGGGGCTGACCATGAAGTGGGAGAAACTGCACCAAGGTCAGTGTTGGGATGGGCAGACCTTCTCTTGTGCTCAGAACAGGATGACAGTGGTGCTGGCATGATGGTGTGCGTGGCACAGACAGGCTTTGCCAGTCACGATGGGAATCCCGCACCAAACGGATGGGCCACGCAGGAGGATGTTGAGTAAATCACCTTCAATTCTTCATAGCATTTCAAAACAACGATACCAGACATAAAGGTGTCCAGTACCAGATAGGGACCAGAATAGATGATTAAAAAAAACTGGACTGTACAGTATAAAGTCAAGCCAGTGATGGCCGATCCTAGATATAGCCCTGACCCAAATCCACACAGTGATTAGCTGAATTATTAGTTAACAATCGAGGCGCTCGAACTGATTTATTTTCCTTCTTGCTGTTAACTTTCCCTAGCCTTGAGGATACTAAACCTGCTGTTGACCCCTCGGTTCCATTGGCTGATTTATTAACTTAGCAACATTCTTTAAACTTGGAGCAACTTGGTCTGCACAGTTCAGTCCTACATCATATTCTACATTTATTGCTGACTCACCAGGGGAAGCTGTAGCCAAGCAAGCAGTTTGCCTGCTCCTGGGGTTCACCCACTGTATATCAGATGACCCTCCCTTCCCCACACCTCGGGCCTTTGCCGTGACCAGCTCGGCATTTGCTATATTACATCACAAGTGATTATGCATCTGCCTGACAAGAAGCAAAGCTGTAGAAATAGTTCGTTTTGTCGATATACACCCAGTAATCTCTTGGCTCAGCGGTTTCACTATCCCCTCAATGAGGGAGTCATGGGTTCAAATCCCATTCCAGAGACTTGAGTCCATAATCTCGGTGCCACCTCTGTGCAGTAGTGAGGGAATGCTGCACTGAGGCACTGTCTTTTGGATGAGATTGTAGACCAAGATTGCTTCTGCCTTGGGTGTACGTAAAAGATCCCAAGGCACTGTTTGAGGAAGAGTGGGAGAATTCTTCTGATGTCCTAGCCAACATTGATAATTTGACCAACATCATTATCTACTCGTTCATCGTATTGTGATTTGTTGGACCTTTCTGTGAACAAATTGGCTGTCGTATTTGCTTTGCATCCCAACCATGATTACTGGGAAGTACCGTGGTGTGCCTTGCGAGATTGCAGGGTATGAGAGGCAGTACATAAACACAAGTTTGTTCCTGAGGAAAGGTGTAAACCCGAAATGCCGACTTTCCTGCTCCTCTGATGCTGCCTGACCTGCTGTGTTCCTCCAGCTCCAACTGTTGTCTGACTCTGGCATCTGTGGTTCTTGCTATCTCCTAGTTTGTTCTTCTTTCTGCTTTGATGTTTCTGCATTAAAATCCCCACACGAGAAGTTGGTTGCAGGGCAGTTTCTAGGGAAACGGTAGTGCATTCGTTTTCGGCACTCAAATATGAAGGAAGATTTGTGGGGGTGGGGTACTGATGAGCCTTTTGTTGGTTGTACACAGCCATTAGATAAGACGAATAATTTCTGACTTTTACAGTGAGCTGGACTACTGGGATTCCCCAAGTGTGAATGAAAGATGCCAGAAGATCTGTGACCAATGGGACAATCTAGGAGCCCTGACCCAGAAGAGGAGAGATGCATTGGAGGTATTTTCATTTCAACCAGTGCCTCGTGAACATAGTTTCTAATTTACTCTAATGTTTGTATGTGTGGTAGCTGCTATACAGGTTGTGCAGAGAACTACAGCTCAAATTTTTCTTTTTTGGAAGAATGAATGAAACAATAGAGATGATGTTCAACCTGACAAAACCTGGGTCAAATCCAAAAGGAGTGCTCCTTTCTGTTTTGGGCACCGCATTTGAGGAAGTTCAGGATTGGACGGGGTTTTTGTTGAAGTGCTTAAACTCTTTAGAGACTTTGAGGGTAGATCAAGACAAACGATTTCCTTTGGTCAGAAAGTCCAGAGTAAGGGCAATAATCTTCACGATTTGGGCTACACTACCAGGAAGATGTCCCATTAGCGTGTGGTGGAAATCCATGTCCCACGACCAGCACTCCACCCGCACACCCCGCCCACCCCCCAACCATTCCTCAAAAGAAAAATCTGTTGAGGTTGAGGATCAACTGAAAACATACAAAACCGAGATTAGCGGATTTTTGTTACACAAAAGTAATTGAGGGTTAAGGAATTGAGTTGATGGAGTGAAGTTGCTAGGTCAGCCATGATGTAACGCAATGGCAGAATGGCCTCAAGGGCCTACTCCTGTTCTGAATGAGGGAGTGATTAGCTTTTTGTCAGCCCTGTTCATAGTCTGAAACCACTGTTTCAAGTACAGTGATCCAATTTAATTTACAGTAAAAGTTTGGCTCAACAGTCAGCTTTGCCTGCAGTAACCTGGAGCATTATCGATATTTCTTAATCGACCCCCCTGGAGCAGATGGGACTTGAACCCAGGCCTCCTGGCTCAGGGGCACGGATACCACTGCTGCACCACAAGAGCCCTTAGTTTCTGAGATCAGGCATTTTCAGACTACATTAGCCATCAGCACCTGTAACATTCTAGCTGTGAAGGTGAAAACAGGTATAGTCAATTCACTTGGAGTTTACGGGATCAAGCAGTAAAATCTATTTCGATTTTGGAATTAGAAAGGCTTTTTAATCTGATTTCTTAAAACATACCTGGACTTCTATTTTTGTATACTGTCCTTGTAAGGAATTAGTCACTTCTCAAAAGTTAACGAAACAGGAATGATTTAATATTTTCAATGCTCAGCCTGTGTTGATGCGCATGGGCTTAACAGTTCATTGACATTCTACTCTGTGGGTTCTTTACATTGTCGGTGCTGCTGATAGTAAACCAGAAGATGCTGGAGATGAGAGGGATTCGGCTCAGTTAACCATGGGAGCAATCTGACTAGTGACTAGTGTCAATGGTCTTTAATCCAGCCCTGTAGTGATGGATCTTGTGATTGTGCTTGACCAGACTGCAAGCTCCCGGAGCCTTTCACAAGCTGTTTTCAGTATTCGTTAAGATCCTTTGAAGTCTGCTTTGTATTCATAACTTACCCATCTTATATGTTAGAGACTACAGCTTATGTTTTTTGATGCTCCATAAACCTGATCACGTTTGTACATCTCAGTTACTGAAAGGTTGAGTGTTTGTCTCGTGGTTTACGCAATAACTCTCAAATGAATGGAGCATAAATTAATTGACTGAGACTCACTTCTCTTCATCTACTTCACTTGAATGATATTTAGGCGTCTAGCTATTTTCTAATCAACGTTCAGAGATGTTATTACATCCCTCGGGAGTAGGTGGGACTTGAACCTGGGCCTGGTGACCCAGAGATGGGGACACTACCACATTGCAAGAGCCCCCTATACTTAGACATCTAGGGTAGCTACGAAGATTGTTTTCAACTACAGAGTGCTGACATGTCTGATACTTCATGATGAAAGCAAACAGCGGTGAAAAGGAGCCTAATTGTGAAAGTGAACGAAGGATTTAAAATTTAATTTTAAAATTGCTGGCTGGGATATGCTTTGTTCGTGCAGTGTTCAGATTTTTTATCAGATGATGTCAATCAAACTGTTGACCAATCTGTGCGAGTAGCAGGTTGCCGTGTCTGAAATAACTCCACATATCTGTCCCTAGATATGGAAGTATTCATGGCTTGGGATAGGCACAAACTTTGTCTCCCACTGCAACTGTTTGTGGCAAAACAAAGTTGTATGGGTAAAAGAGAACTAACATATTTGGGGAACAATATCAGCTGCAAAAAAGATTCAAACATTCTATTTCAGAGTTGAAGAATTACTGAGACCAAGGATTTCCATAGATGGTAAAGAAATAAGTACAGAACCACTGAAGGTTGGAGAGAGAAATAAGAAAATTTGTTTGTAAAAAATGGGAAGCATCAGATTTTCTTTGCCTCTTATCTAGCGCTCACGATTTTGCAAGCCAGCAGTATTGAGAGTGGAAAGGTGGTTCTGAGTATTGATGGGATGTCCTCTGAAGGACCTTGGATAGTCATAAATTACTGCAAGGAGCGAATTAGTTGGACAATGATTCAAAAAGATGTGAATGGTGTAAAGAGAGAAAATGTACCAGGGAACACTGGTTGAATGATGTGTGTCGGAGGATATTAACTGCAATGTTTTTGAGGAATTCAATATTCACGAACAGAATTTAGGTGGGAGTTTTGAAAATTGCAAAGAAATGAACAGTACAAAATGCTGCCAAAGACTTTGAACATGTCCAAGATTAGTTAATCACCAGAATGTTGAAGTGCAGAGTCCCATAGAATGCAGTGTTGGCAAGAAGGCTGTGCTGAAAACCAGACAGAAGGTGATGTATTGGGCCAGAGCTTTGGGTGACGGATAATTTGAATATTAACAAATGCTGAGTATTAAAGCCAAAAAATGTCTGCATAAACTCCTCACTTATTATTGCTGTCAGGGTGAATGATCAAACAAGCTTCCCTTTAATGTCAGTGAGCTGCCGTGAGAGATTCAATATCCTTCTTTAACTTGATGGTATGTGTTGGTTTTCCTTTCCAGAGGACTGAGAAGCTCCTGGAGACTATTGACCAGTTGTATCTAGAATATGCAAAGAGGGCTGCTCCCTTTAACAACTGGATGGAAGGTGCCATGGAGGACCTGCAAGACACATTTATTGTTCACACTATTGAGGAAATCCAGGTATGTATAGGACATTCAAGAATATACGTGTGAATATGCAAATTAGGAGCTAGAATAGACTACTTTGACCCATCAAGCTGGCTCTGCAATTGAATAATATCGTAGCTGCTCTGACTGTGGCCACCCATTTTTCTATTTGACTCCCTTGCTAATCAAGGATCTATCTAATTCTTACTTGAATATTCAATGACTTGCACTGTTCCCACCTCTTCAGCTAACATAGCAGATCCTTATTTTTAAAATGGATCCTCCATATCTAGTACCACCTGCAAAGGGGATCATTCTTTATGAATATTATGTGGCACAATAAGCTCATCTCTCATTCTGCTGAACTCAATACAGATTCCACCTGTCCTCAGAAGGTAACCAAATAAAAGCAAAATATTGCAGATGCTGTAAGTCCGAAATAAAACAAAGTGCCGGAGAATCTCTAGGCAGCAACTGGAGAGAGAGAAAACAGTATTGACCTTTCAGAACCCACTTCTAAATACCGAAGAGTCACATCAGACTTGAAATGTTAGCTTTGGTTTTCTCAATGGATGCTGCCAGACCTGCTTGAGTTTCTCCAACTTTTTGTAGTTTTTATCTCGTAAGATAACTGCCTCATTCCAAGAATCAGTTGAATGAATCTCCTCCGCATTGCTTCTAATGCGATCATGTCCTTTCTCGCGTAAGGAAATCCAACCAAACTGTAAACAGTACTTCAGATATGGTCACACCAATGTCCTGGATAACTGTGGCACAGCATCATTCATCTTACATTCCATTCTGTCTTGCAGTGCTGTAGTCGTCCATTCAGACACTCAGTTTCAGAAAAATAATGAAAGATATCAGTGACTTGCTCTTTGGAACAAACAGTTGCTTTTCAGGTCATCTGACACAGGACACCATCCGCTATGATATATTTATGTTTGTATTTGGCCACGCAGACTTGCAAATTGCTATCTCTGAGTCATCCTGACATTGTGCGTCAGGGAGAATCATGATAAATGGCACTCCTGCATGCACAGGACAATGGGAATCTGCGTCACTTAAATATTGAAGAGCTTTGTTTATTACCACCCCCTTCAGTTTATTCAAAAATTAACATATTTATAAACTAAAACATTAAATCTGTTCAACAGTTCTCTTGATTGAGGTATGTATCCCCTGCATGTCATTATGACTGTCATCTCATTTTCTCATATTATTCAGCTGAATCTGTATTATTGCACAAAAAGCTCACATTCTACTCCCATATTTATCTTCTCTTTGGCTGTACTGATTTTAACTGTTATATTTGACCAGTGACGTAGTGAACAAATAGCAATTTTCACTCTGTCATTACCTCTTGAGTCCTTTTATTACCATCTGATTTCTCCTCTACATCAGTCTGTCCTAGACGATCCAGTATTGCCACTTTCATGATTAGTTTCAACACAGTAGATACACCTTTAGGTAAATGATACAGTAGGGGCCAAACCAAATTCTCTCCGAACTGGCATGCAGTTTAGTCAAATCGCTCGAGTGTTGGGAAAGTGCTACGTTCCCACACTGAACTGAAGGAGGATCCTCACCAGGTCTCTGACCATTGACCAAGTAATTCATGTGCTGGCAAAATGACAGTCGTATTGTCGCTAAGACCATAAAACATGCGAGCAGCAATAGACCATTCAGCGAGATTGTGGCTGATCTGATAAACCTTATCTCCACTTTTATGCCTTTTTCCCTACAACCCTTGATTCTATTATTGATAAATAATGTGTCTGTCGCAGCCTTGAAGATTCTTTAGAACATTAAAACTGGGAGCAGAGAAGGCCCACGAACCTGCTCCTCCATTCAATGTGATAGTGGTTGATCTCATCTCAGCCCCTCAAGTCCACTTTCCTGCCTGCTAACCATAACCCTTCAATGCATTACTAATTGAAAATCTGTCTATCTTCTCTTTAACTTACTGAATACCCGGGCATCCACTGCACTTCAGGGTAGTGAGTTCCACAGATTCATAACCCTTTGAGAGCAGTAATTCCTCCTAATCTCTAATTCAAATCTGTCACCCTTTATCCTACAACTATGACCTGTCATTGTAGATTGTCGCACATGAGGAAACATCCGCTCTACATCTACTTTGTCCGTTCCCTTTGGCATCTTGTGCGCCTCAATTTAGATCTCCTTTCACTCTTCTATACTGGACAGTATAGACCTGAACTGCTCAATCTCTCTTCATAAGACAAACTCCTCAACCCTAGAATCAATCTTGTGAACCATCTTCAATGCAACTGTATTCCTCCTCGATAGGAAGAATTTTCTACTTCAGAGGCATGTCATAACAGGTTGATTCTCGACAGGTTGATTTTAAAAATATCTACAAGGTATGTGTCGAACATGCACATGGGTGACATTTTGTTGTGCATATATTTTTGCCTGAAATCCCTCTAGCTACTATCTTAAGAAATCATTGACTCACCTAGAGTTTATACAATGCATTTTACATCACCAGGATATTGCTATTGTGTTGTAGGCAACTGATTTATGCAAAGCAAGATCCCACAACAGGTAACTTGTATTAATAACCACTTAATCTGTTAGACTGGTGTCGCTTGAGGGAGGTGTCTTATTCAGGACACTAAAACAATACTTCCCATCAGATACTGTTCTAGAATCTTCTCTATGCACCCAAACAGAACGCAGGTCTGAAAGATGCAATCTTCCACCTTACAACTATATGTTCCAGGACAGGACTCTCTGATTTTGAACAAGAATTTTGTCAACTAGGCTAAATTGACTATTTATTTTGTGCTTTTCAATCAAGCTAGTGAAATTATTTAATACCTTTGTTGAAATAGAACTTCATGTGATGCATCCAGTTTATTGGATTGGCTTTTGGTGTCTATAATACCTTGTTGAATGCTGTTTTAAGCATTGACGATGTCTGCGGGTGATGTGTACAGTTAACACAGCTGTTCCAGTGTGTGTTTTTTACCTTTTACCTTTATGTTCATCGCCCATAATTTTGTAAAATGATTCGGAAAGTCTCGGCCAAGCCATCTGTCCTTGGTGTTGTCAAATAAACAGGCAGCAAGTGTTTCTCTGGCCACATTACAAACCTGTGACCTCTACCACCAAGAAGCACAAGGGCAGCGTGCACAGTGGAACACCACCATTTTGAAGTTCCCCATCAAGGTCCATACCAGACTGACTTGGGCATGTTTCACAGCTCATTCATCACGACTGGATCAGAATCCTGGAACTCCGTCCCTGACAGTGCAGTGGGAGGACATTTACCTCAGGCGACGCAACAGCTCTCCGCCATTGTCTTGAGAGCAGCAAGGGGTGGATAATAAATGCTGTTCTTGCAAGTGACACCCACATGCCAAGAATGAACTTTTTTTTTAAAATAAGCGTGTGTTATTCACTCATGGCACATGGGTCCAGCAGATCCCTTATTTTCCAAAGTAGCTTGATCCAACTGTATGAAATCTGAAGGTACATTACAGGGCAGTTCAGAATTGGTGAGGGACTGGATTTGCATGTAGGCCAAACTGGGTAAGGGTGACCATCTTCCTCCTTTTTAAGGCACTAATAAACCAATTTGTTTTACCGTTGCCATCTTTTTTTATTTCCAGATTTTTTTTATTATTAACTGAATTCAAATTTGCAGCTTGCAATGGTGGGATTTGAACACTTGTGAATAGTTTGCCCAGGTCTCTGGAACATTAGTCAGTATCATTACCACATGAGGTGCAGTGGCAACATAGTTTACAATAGGTTTTCCTTATTAAAGAGGAGGAATGAAACTTGTATGAATCCCTAGTTGCTGTTATGAACGATAACCGTGTTGGTTAAAGTATATTACTATATTTGGACACATCTGTGAAATTGTTCTGTACAATTAGTAAACTTCGACCTTTTTAACATGCCAAGTCTGGGGAAAAATATCGCAGAGGACTGTACTGCATATTTATGTCACACCAAGAGCTTATGATGGATGAGTTTCTTATTTTACTTGTAAAATACCAGTTTAGTTCAAGTAGTCTAGTTACAGGTTTTATAATTGGCAGACTCCTGCAAATTCTCATTTGGGAATAGTATTGTTCTCAACGGTCCAGAACCATGGAGATCCAAAAAGCCCCAGGTTCAGTTCCTAAGCTAGAAGACCTCAGCGAGGCCAACTGGACCTGGGAAGGGAGATATTCATGAGAGTTCCTGATCTGAATCACATTCCAGTGAATAGATACTGAGTGAGGATTGCGTCTAGTCCCCTGTCACCTCGCTGCCCACACTCAGTTGAAGAATGGCCATTTAGATAGTTTAAGAAAACAGGTACCGTTTTATATGCACAATCAATTACGCTGCCATGAAGAAAGGGGTTATCAGATTATGTGTGGAACTGGCAGAAACTGTTCACAAGGAGTGCAGCCAGACAGAGAGAAAATTGGACAGTGAATATTTTCAGGGAACTCTCCAGTTTCTTTGAAATCATGGTAATGGGTAGCCCCAAGGTGTTGGTGAACCAATGCGCTTGCCTGGAAACTATCCATCTACTCACCACCTCTCTAGGGCAGAGTCTGGCAAGTATGAGATGGGAGTATTTGGGAGTTAGTAGCTGTGGACTTTTGTTTGAATATCCAGATGATTTTTTTTTACATTAAGAGTTGTACAAACTTACTGTTCCCAATTCATTTATTTTTGAGAAAGGCTTATCTAATTTTTAGCTCTTTAACCTAGAGTGTTCAGAACATCTCTTGAATGTCTGACAACATTAATCATATATTTGCATTCCAATCCCCACGAATGCATAAATGTTAGGAATGCGGTTTGTGTGTCATTTAAACTTTTGAGTGTTTATCATCCTTCCTGGTTGTTGGTAGTGCATTCCCTTTTGAAGTAAAGGCTTAGATTTAGCACCAGTTGGGAATTTAAGCATATACTCTAGGCTGACTCTCAAATGCAGTGTAATGGAGTGCTGCATTGCTAGAGAAAGTGTGTCTTCCAGTTAAAACATATTAACCACGACCTTGTCTTTCTGCTTTGGTTCAAGTAGGTGTTAAATTGCATTCTATCCTTGTTACTTCAAAGCCAGCTTTTGCTCCAAAAAAGAAATGTTTTGGTTTTTTGCTGGCTTCCCATAAAGCCCTTCAATTCAGAGAATCATAGAATCCCTACAACATGGAAGCAGGCCATTTGGCCTGAGTTCACACTGACCCTCCGAAGAGTATCCCACCCAGACCCAGCCTCCTACCGTATCCCTGTAACCCTGCATTTCCCATGGCTAATCCACCTAGGCTCCACATCCCTGGACACTGTGGGCAATGTAGCATGGCTATTCCACCTAACTTGCACACCTTCGGGCTGTGGGAGGAAACCGGAGCACCCAGAGGAAACCAACGCAGATACAGTAAGAATGTGCAATCTCCACACAGACAGTCTCCCGAGGGTGGAATTGAACCTGGATCCCTGGTGCTGTGAGGCTGCAGTGCTAACCAATGAGGCACCTCAGCAAAGTGGACTTTCGAATAAATCCTGAGTACTGCTACTTCGATAAACTGTGCCACCAGCCAGAATAACTCTGCTTTTTCTAAAAATGTGATCCAAGCCAACTCTGAGTCAGCCCTTGAGCAGAAGTTTCAGCAAAAAGAAGTGGCTTCTTGTCGACCTGTTTATATAATATTAAACCCGATTAGCTGAGGCACAATATGTACTTGTAATTTCTTTCACTAAAGCATGTTGTGAAGAGTGGTACACATGTTTAGAGTTGTTTATTGTGCCTCATTCCTCAAAAGGACTAGCAACCTCACATGCTGCCACTAGCTCTGCTGTGAGCACACCCAGAGCGCACACAGTTCATTAGTCTTCTCTACCAACATTTCTCAAGTCAGTTGAAATGTAATCAAACTGTTAAATGTTTGGAGAAAATGCTCCAAGCACTCGTGGATACTCTGGAGAGTGGTTTCTGCCAGTTATATTGTGGTATTTTTAGCTCTCAAATCATGATAGAGTAACTTGTTTTCTTTTGTTTCTGTTATTTATACATACGTATTATTCAATTCCCCCTTGCCCTCTCCCTCTCCCTCCTATTGTTCCTACACATACAACTGCATATTCTAATTTTGTTCATTCTCAAAAGTTCTGCCGTGTTCGTTCCCTTCTCTTTGTTTTCACACTACTGCAGTTGTTCTGCCATTGCATTGCTAGGAGCTCACATCTCCAGGAACGCCTGACTTCCTTCAGTCTCCAGCCTACAATCTCCACGCTTATACAACACGAGCTGGGTATCAAACAATCGCTACTTCCTGATTTCTCCCCTAATCCCTTCCCTTCCCTTTCAACCCTGGGTTGTTATCTGACCTTTGAGTCTTGGCTCATCAGTTAATGTCTCAGTTGTTGACTTTAAGAAAATAGCGATATGATCATTGTTCCCTCTAAGCTGCGCAGCCCCTCGAAAGTTTCTCGCACACCAATTGGCTGATGCATTCACTTCCAGAAGGCACTGTTATGCATAGACGTTGGAAGCCCGCATGAAGGCAGATAAAAAATTACGGGGTATGTCGGATATGATCTAATTTCATTAGGGTTCCTGTCCAGTGTTTGCATCTCCAGGCAGTATATCTTCAAAAGTTCAGATATTTACTAATCTGATCTAAATTCATTGGTAGAAAGCCAGAAGAATCTCGTACACCTGGAAGTTGAGCTCTCCCTCTTCCCCTCCCCCCACTCCCATTTGGATTGCAGTATTGATTTCTACTTTAAGGTTTACACTAAAGCTCTCTTAGCAGGACTAATTTCAATTTCCCGCTCAGAATTTTATGTCAGTTTGAGATGGACCATTGGAATTGAAATTGTCTGAATAAAATCTGTAATTGCTGTGCCTTTATTTAAAATATTTAACTACTCTACAGATGAATTCTAATTCAAATAATGATTTATATCTGTGCTGCAACAATCTATTCTTACTGGGTATGGTTACACAAGCTCCATCAGGTCTCTGGTACCACTGCTATATTGTTGCCTAGGTTACACATAAACCATGAGAGTAAGACAGGCTAGTCAAATATGGCGGAACTGGGATGTATAGGAAGGTAAGATCCTATAGTGTTCACCTGGCAACCAAACATGTACATGTTCCACCAAGCATCACTGCATAGTGATGAGTATGATTTTTGCTTGTTTATTCATCAGCCTTCTGGCCCATGATACAGATGTAAGTTGATGCTTTTGTGGCTAATTTTAATTATAAACTTGTTTCTCTTCTAACTAGAGTCACTAGGTATTTAATTGCAGTGAGCCAGTGATGAGTAAATTGTAACTTCATTAACTTATTCGGTGACCCTCTTGACCCTACTCTTAGTTATATTTTTATGTCTGTGTTGAGTTATAATGTGGAGGTGGCAGTGTTGGACTGGGGTGGTCAAGGTCAGAAATCAAACGACACCAGGTTATAGTCCAACAGGTTTATTTGAAAAGACAAGCTTTCGGAGTCTTGCTCCTGAAGAAGGAGTAAGACTCCGAAAGCTTGTGTTTTCAAATAAAGCTGTTGGACTTTAACCTGGTGTCGTGTGTTGAGTTAGCCTTGGAGAGGCAGCATAGTCAGTTCAAGTATTCAATCTGGGTAAGATGATGTTTTACATTGTTTCAAACTTGATGGATGATGGACAAGGTTTTAATTTTGTTACTAGCTGAAAACCAGAATGTGCCGTGTTCTGGTCCATGAATACCCCAAATAAATATGTGTTGAATATTACCAAGTTTGCTGTATGGTTTGGGGTTCCTGTATAGACAGTGAGGAAGGTTATCAAAAATGACAAAGGGATCTTGATCATTTGGGCTGATGGGCTGAGGAGTGGCAGATTTAGATAAATGCAAGGTTGCATTTTGCTCAGAAGAACAGGGACAGGACTTGCACAGTTAATGGTAGGGCCCTGGGGAGTGTTGTGGAACAGCAAGACCAAGGGGTTGAGGTACATAGTTCATTGAAAGTTGCATCACAGATAGACAGGGGGATGAAGAAAGTTTGGCACGCTTGCCCTCATTGCTCAGACCAGTGATTTAGGAGTTGGGACGTCATGCTGCAATTGGTGAGGCCACTTTTAGAAATGTTTACGATTCTGCTTGCCCTGCTGTAGGAGGGATATTATTAAATTGTAGAGGGTGCAGAAAACATTTATGAGGATGTTGTCAGGGCTGGAAGATTTGAGTTATAAGGAGAGGCTGGATAAGTTTTTTTTTTTCACTGCAGCGTAGGAGGTTGAGGGGTGACCATGTAGAGGTTTATAAAATCATGAGGGGCATCGATCAAGTGAATAGCAAAAGTCTTTTCCATAGAGCTAGGGAGTTCAAAACTAGAGAGCATAATTTTAAGGTGAGTGGAGAAAGGTTTAAAAGGGACCTGAGGGGCAATTTTTTCGCACACAAGGTGGTTCGTGTGTGGAACGAACTGCCAGAGGAAGTGGTACAGTTAGAGCATTTAAAAGGCATTTAGACAAGCACATGAATAGGAAAGGTTTAGAAGGAAATAAGCCAAACACCGGCAAATGGGACTGTTTTAGACTGGGGAAACTTGGTTGGCATTAGACGAGTTGGACCAAAGTGTCTGTTTCCGTGCTGCATGACTCTAAGTGGAGCCCAAAATATTTAAAAGGAAAATGTCAGAAGTGGCAAAGTGACAGTTTCCATTAACTCCTGTTCAGATCAAATTGCAGGAAAAATAGATGATTCCTTCCCTGAAGCCATTTTTTGGTGATGAATCTGTAGTTACAACCAGATGAACAGGGCTAGGCTGAGGTTTCTCTCTTTGTCCGCTCCTTGGTTAAGCAATCACTTTTGAATCTAAAAAGAGAGATTCGGGATTGCCAATTCAGTTTGTACTTTGTGTGCAGTTAAGAACAAAGCCAGACAGATATTTTTGACTTAAACAAGATGAGGGTTAGTTGTGCTGAACCCCACTGAGATAAGACATTAGAAAGGTTAAAGATGTACAAATGTGTGTGTCTTCTCACTAAAAAAAGCACATACTCAAATCCCGAGCGTGAGCATAAATACAGCTTTACGGAATATTTGTGGTTGAACTCGGCCAAGTTAAGAATGCAGATTTTAAAAAGAACAAGGAAAGCCAGTGAAGATTTTTGGATTGTATCCACAGTCACTGTTTCACCAGCTGAAGTAGATAAACTGTGGAGCTAGAGAAGCACAGCAGGTCAGAAAGCATTAGAGGAGCAGGAATGTCGACCCTTCATCAGGTGACGTGCATGACATGCCCCTCTAATTAAAGAAGGAAAGTAAAATTTGGAAATGTCAGAACTGGTCCAAATTCATCTTGTGTGTCTGACAATGGAACTCCAGTTTACTTTAAACCCAACAGTTCCATACTGGTTATTCCATCTTATTGTTGTCAAACTCCAATGACTTCACTCACGGCTCTGCCTGTTGTAGGGTGAGAGACATACACTTTTCTGTCTCAGAAAGACCATATTTAGAGATTAGATGGTATTATGGAGAAAGAGGCTCCCTCTGACACTTTATAGTTTCTATCAAAATCCAACTTGAAACATCCTCCGAACAGTTACATCATGACTCTCCGTGTCGGTTGTGTATTCCAAAGGCTCATGTCTTTCTCTTAGTCATGAAAGCTGAGGTAGTTAATGTTTAATGTTCAACAAATTAACCCCTAAATGATCCATCCTCTATCCTGTTGAGACAGGGAGGAGCTGTTCATACCTCCCAAGGGTGCCATGTCTATGTTGGGGTCTCTGTAAACCTCTCTGTCTTTGTGACATGGAATGCAGTTGTACAGATGTAATTTAGCAGTTGCTTTGAGTCAGTATCTTTGTTTCAGTGCAATATCCTTTTTAGAAGATTAATATGTCACAATAAGATACCAAATTAATTTCATGTAGTGTGTTTTCATGATACTATGTACCCTATGTGACTAATGTTTTATTTTTCACCTCCACTCTGTCCTGTAGGGGTTGATAACTGCTCATGAGCAATTTAAAGCCACTCTGCCCGAGGCAGATCGGGAGCGCCAGGCTATTCTAGGCATTCACAATGAGGTGTCAAAGATCGTCCAAACCTACCATGTCAACATGGCTGGTACCAATCCTTATACAACAATCGCCCCACAAGACATTAACAACAAGTGGGAAAAGGTGAGGACAATTGCTAAATGTTTCCATCATACCGTTGGTAGTGGGGGGTGAAGGGACAGCTGTATTTAAAAAAAAACACTACCAACAAGGTGTCGCTCACTGTCTAAGTTCATTTTACACCAATACTTGACTTAAGTATTGCTGCCTTGCACACATCAAGACAATGCATAAGAACAGCAATTAAAGGGAAAATGAATGTTGATACTGAGAGGAGAATGCTGCTTGATTGGCAAATGAACTCTGGTTTAGCTGTAGCCATGTATAATACACCGGTGAATGTGGATTGGCAGTTAAGTTCCAGGCTTGGTTTAAATTTAAACCAATTACGTTGACCCTAATAGGTAAGGCATTGCCTGAAAAATGAGCCAGTGAGTGGCTATCACTTTTGTTGAGTTGACAATACCCTTTGGCTGCCAATAACAGACAAGGTACTGACCATGCCCAACTGTATTTGCAAATTCACAATACAATGTCAGACGTTAGTTGTGATTCTGCAACTGGACAGCATTTGCTGGATAAACCTGAGCGTGCAAAGAATTACTCTGACAACCAATATAGGATCATTAGTCAGGCTCACAGCATGGCACGTGTGTGTGTACTGGAAGCTACATACATGTCCTGCACCCGTTTCAACAAAATAGGAGGCAACCCTTTACTGGCTCGTTTCTCATGACAGCGCCTTTGCCAATCAACCAACCTGCCTGGTTTATAATTTAAACAAAGCCTGACGGTTAACTGTTAATCATCATTAACTAGAGCATTCTCCATGGCAAAGCCTGTACCAATCAGAGTCCATTTGCCAAATAACAATGAGCATTCTTCTTTCGTAGAGCATAAATGTTATTCCCCTTTAAAATGGTATTCTTGCAAGATGAAGAGCATCAACAAACTGTCTCTATTCAGCAATGACTAAGTTCTAACAATCAAACACTTATTTAAATAACTGACTAATTTTGGCAGCCACATTTGAATGTGCGTTAGCGTCCACTGTCTCACCCAATCATAAATTGTACACCTAATGGAACTGCTTTTGTTGGCCTTAGCTGTTGATCCTGTTGCATAATTGGATTTGTCCCCATGTGCCAAGCTTTATCCCAAATTATGCTTTGATACAAACCCAAAATCGTCATACAAGACATCTTGGCTCACCTTACCTGAGGGTGAAATAATTCTTAACTGAAAATGGCTATAATACATCATTTATAGAATGAAAGACACTGCATGTATCCTAGTGTGGCTTTCATTTGAATTTTGGCTTTATGTCAAAATTTTCTTTTTGGAATTTAATCTCTGAGGAAACAAAATGTTAGTGAGATTGTTTCCAGCTGAATGTGCATTCCTTTGTTCTTTTGTAATCTTCTAAAGGGAACTGATTGCTGTATTGCAAGTCTCCAAATGAAAGAGCCAGTAGCCAAGACCCTAACATACTATACTAAAGTTTCCAGTCTGTATTCCACCTCAGATTAGCTTGTCACCATTTATTTGAATGGGATTTAAATTGGATGCTAAGGAAACTGTCCAGGACAAAACAGACCACTTGACTGACATCCCACTTAATACCTTGAATATCTGCTCCCACCATAGACGATGCACTGCAGGAATTCACCTAGGCTCCTTTCACAGCACCTTTCACATCCATGACCTCTAGAAGGGCAAGAACAGCAGATATGTGGGAACACCACCACCTACATGTTCCCCTCTGAAACACTCACCAACCTGACTTGGAAACGCATCAGTGTTCCTTCACTGTTACTGAGTCAAAATCCTGGGATACCTTTCCTAACAGCATTGTGAAGGTATCTGTACCTCCAGGACTGCAGCAGTTCAAATAGGCTGCCGACTACCACCTTTTTGAGGGCAACTGCAAACAGCCAATAAATCCTGGCCTAACCAATGATACTGATATTATGTGAACAGATATATTTTAAAAAAGTACTTCCTTCAAACCAAGATATAAGAGAAGGAAAGGTTCCACTCAAGATCAAGGCCGTTATGCTCTGTCCCAACATTGTGTCTTTACCCCTCTCTCCCATAATATAAGTAAGATTTCCAATTCCAACACCAGCCATTTTATGACATCTGCTAGCTGAAATAATTAATTAATTTAGAAACCATGAGTACTGAATCACACTGTGATCACAAACTTGTCCTTATTAACCATGAGCGCACAAGATTATGATAACAAAGATTGGTAGGTAAAAGCCAGCTCACCCATCGAGTCTGCCTCGTACTCATGGTGACTAGGGCATCAAGACTAAACAATCCCTCCCCAATCTTGAAGCCATCATATCTGGAAGAAAGAAAGGGAAAAACAAAGGTCCAGGACAAAATACTCTGGGGCAATATCATCATGCCCTACCTGAAGTGACCAAAACCAGTCCAAGAGATCATGTGGATCAAATGCTTTCTGTAAAGACACTTTTTCTCTCTCTTTGTTGGCCTCTGCCCCAGTTCAGAACTGGTGCAGTTTCCTGTTGAAATCTGGCATCATCACCTTTTTCTCGCCACCTACTCCACTTCAACTCCTTGTGAGGATACTGTTCCCCAGGAAGAGGTTTCCTTCAAATACCTTGCAAAGTGTCCAATGTTCAGGTGTGTGTCTTGACAGTTAAGGGTCAGAGAATCCCTACAGTGCAGAAAGAGACCATTCGGTCCGTTGAGTCTGCACCAACCCTGAAGAATATCCCACCCAAACCAAGCCCCCTACCCTGTCCTCGTAACCTTACATTTAGCGTGGCCAATCCACCTAACCTGCACATCTTTGGACTGTGGGAGGAAACTGGAGCACCCAGAGGCAACCCATGTAGACATGGGGAGAATGTGTGCAAACTCCTCACAGACAATCGCCCAAGGTAGAGTTGAACCTCCTTCCTGGCGCTGTGAGGCAGCAATGCTGACCACTGATCCACCGTGCCATTGTGAAGAGTTGAGGCGCTTCCTATCTGCTTTGATCGAGCTTGGCTAATTCGACGTGGATAGAGTTTAAAACCAGAAGAGTTTTGTTCAAATCAAGAGTGAGTTAATAATTGATCATTCTTGCCATGACAGGTAATAATCATTTTCAACAAGAGAGAATCTAATCATCGCCCCTTGATGTTCAATGACATTCCATTAATGAATTCCCCCATTATTAACATCCTGAGGGTTACTGTTGCCCAAAAATAAACTGGACTAGCATGTACATACTAGCTACAGGAGAGGTTAGGAATTCTGCGATAAATAACTCATTTCCTTTCTCCCCAGTGGCTGTCCACCATCTTCAAGGTACAAGTCAGCTGTGTGATTGAATACTGTCTACTTACCTGAGTAACTGCAGTTCCAGCAGCACTCAATGCTTGATATCATCTGGGACAATGCAGTGGCTTGATTAGCTGTGCATCCACTACTTTCAACACTCACTGCCTTCTTCACAGATGTATAGTGTGTACCATCTGCAAGGTACACTGCTGCAACTCATCAGAGCACCTTACAATCCTGCAGCCTCTACTGCCAAAAGGACAAGAGCAGCAAATGCAAGAGAACACTTCAAGTTCCCCTCTCTTAAGTCACACGCCATTCTGACGTGGAACAATATTGCCTTCCCTCACTGTCACTGGGTCAAATTCCTCCTAACGTCACTGTAGGTATACCAATCCATCAAGCACTGCAGTGGTTCAAGAAGGCAGCTCACCACCTCCTTCTCCAGGTCAATTTGGGATGGACAATAAAAATGTTGGCAGAGCCAGCAACACCCACATATCTCAATGAATAATTTTTTTTAAAAATTACTCCGAGCTGGATTCAAGGTGAAAGAACGGTGTTGTACCACCCAGTATCCCAACCAGTATAAAATGCCTGTAGATATAAAGGGAGAAAGTTACTCCTGTCCCTTTTAAAGGAATAGAATGGGATGTTGAGTGATTTGTACGATAATACTTTGTTTTCAGGTTCGACACTTGGTGCCACAGAGAGACCATGCTCTGATGGAGGAGAATGCTCGTCAGCAATCCAACGAGAGACTGCGGAAACAGTTTGCGACACAAGCCAATGTTATTGGTCCTTGGATTCAGACTAAGATGGAGGTAATATCTCAAAACCACTGCACAGCTAGTTGCAAGACTACATTATCAGTTAGCTGTATAATTGGTGACGGTGCAATTTACAGGTACTGTGACAGGAATTTGAAATCAAGTAAGGAATTGAATTTTTATGAGCTTTTTCACAACCTCAGAATTTGGCAAAGTGTCTGAACGCCAGTGATGTACATTATTTCTTTGAGATCGCACCACTGGTATAATGTATAATGTAGCAAAAGCGGCAGCAAGTGTCTGTACTGTGAGGTTCCAGAAACGGCAATGGGTTAATGTCCAGATAGCAGCCTGTTTTAGTGGTGTGGGTTTTCGGGAGTTGCATTGACCCAGATACTGTGAAAACATCACTGTGCTTAGTCAATAGAGCAGTGCAATCTTTTACATCCACCAACAAGGAGAGATTTGCACTTGGGTTGAGATCTCACATAAAAGATGCTCATTTCTAAGATGCAGCAATCCCTCAGTACTGCAGTGAAGTGTCAGGTTAGATTATTTATTATTTGGCATACTCAAAATCTGTGGTGTGGTTTCCGTCTTCAGAACCAAACATTGCTTTCTCTGCTATAAATTATTACATATTCATATAGCTGGCTGTTCGCAGTTGAACACAGCACGATCTGTAACAAGTGCACCTACGTTTATTGAAGACATTATACGATTGAGAAAAGTACTGTTGCTGTTTAAGCATTTTCAAGTTTGGTGTCGTTCTACCTATTGTACAGCTGGTGTGCACACACCAGCAGAGATATTCACCACATCACCTTGACCATCACCTTTTTCCCATTCACTTTTGCAGGAGATTGGTCGTATCTCCATTGAGATGCATGGCACACTGGAGGATCAGCTGAACCACCTCCGACAATATGAGAAAAGCATTGTCAACTACAAACCAAAGATCGATCAGCTAGAAGGAGATCATCAGCTCATTCAAGAGGCACTAATCTTTGACAACAAGCACACCAACTACACAATGGAGGTGAGCAGCTTTTCTCGACCGAGGGCTGCTCTGGTTTCCACTTGTCTATACACCCCGTTTAGTGCTGATGCCCGTAGTTTACATTTAAAAGGTCAAGTGTTGAAGTCATCTTGCAATGTTGATGCAGCTGCTCCTGCTGCTTTGATGACAGCATTGTTTAAAACTGCATAATATTTTTCACTGTCTCAACTGGTCTGCTATCTCCACAAGTGTTGTTTTCAATCTTGCACTTTCCCTTTCTCATTCCTGATGATTCTACCTCGATTCAGTTCACAAGATATAAATTGTGGGACTTAGAATTACAACCCGAAACCCCTCTAGCTCCAAGTGAGGATGGCTTCCAGACTGAAACATAGATGCAGTGAGCCACTCCTCAGTCACAAAATGCAGTACTTTGTGAACACCGAGACTTGAGGGCCAATAATCATTTAATTAAAATGCAGCATGTTTGCTGTAAGTAAAGTGTCTATCAGCAGCAGAATTTATGGAACTGAAACCATTCATAACGCAGCACCTTCACAGCACAAAGGCTTATGATTATTCTGCCCTATGCCTTATTTGTTTCAGAATATCCTGTGTCTTTTTCAATGGATCTGTTTTTTAATTTTTTTTCTTTGCTTTCTCTTTCAGCCTTTTTTTTTCAGTAAAAGTTATCAGACATAAAAGCATATTGCAAAATGATTCACCAACATTTCGTTGAGATGAGCAGCACAACTTTGATCTTGGGAACTCTACACAGTCTTGAAAACCATGGCTGAATTGTGTTTTTTTTTAAAATGCTTGAGTTTTAATAGGTATTTTCCTGAGAATCGACTACAATATTTTCACGAATGGTGTATTTTAAATGCATGACCATTGGAGAGTTGGAAAGATGAGCTATGGTCATTTTCTCATCCAGTTGTTCCTCACTCTGCCTAAGTTTTGTACAGTAGCAATGATCTAATTATGACCATTTTTGCAGGTTTAGGAGTAATAATTTTCCTCGCATCTACTTTGACTACAGTAATATTGTTTGCTCCAATGTTAAGGGAAGTTGTACCAACTTTGCAAGTGTTATTAACTCTTGAAATGAAATTTACAATCATGTCAAAATGATCATTGAAGTGTTTACTTTCATTCAGATTTCACCATCCAGTTTCCAAAATAAGCAAGGTTTTTCTGCAGCTGTTGTAAATGCATTATTGTTTGAGCCTTCGGTTAGTCTCCAGTCCTGAGGAAATTCCTTGCTCTCTCTGTCACCGTGTTAACATTTGGGGAAAGCTGCTGATAGCGCATCAGTGGCAACTGTTCCAGATTGCACGGCTTTTGATTCCTTTCTCAAGTTTGCTTTTAATCCTGTAGGGTTACAGATCTGCTTGAGGTGATGGTGAGAATAGCCATCAGAAACAATAAGTTGAACAAGCCAAGGAGAATGCATTAGACAAGTGCTCCTAATTAATTAATTGACTGCCTTTCCCTTTGTTCCAGCATATCCGAGTGGGCTGGGAACAGCTGCTCACTACCATTGCCAGGACAATCAATGAAATCGAGAACCAGGTCCTGACCAGAGATGCAAAGGGCATTAGTCAGGAGCAGATGAATGAGTTCAGGGCCTCCTTTAACCACTTCGACAGGGTAAGCTCGCTGATTTGCTGGTGATGTGTAAGTTTTGCAGTGAGATTTATTCAGTTTTCTTGGCTGTGCTACAGTATTTTCTTTCAGGAAATGGGGAATACGATTCAAAGAATATTTGCTACAAAATGTTAATCGTATCCTCAATGAAGCTGCCGGCTGGTCCTGAACTTCAAGAGGCCTAACTCCGAGGCAAAGGAAACTGTGCAATGCTCAAGATCTATTCACAGTTTAGTAACCGATTAAAGTAACTAGTAAAATTTTAAACTAAAGCATGCTTCTTTAGTGTGCTGTAGACTGAGGTGTATTTCCACATGCTCCATTCTGTCCTCCTGCCATGCTAGTTTCCATAAACATTAATTGTTGCATCTCCAATGACCATTTTCCATGTGTGAGTCTAGACAGCAGCATTGGCAAACTATTTGACTGTGGAATGTGGGTCATCCCTCACCGCAAACGTTGTGCACAATTTGACAGATGGCTGCCAACAAACTTGGCCTGATGTGATGGGCTGTAAAATTACCCAGGTAGCTTTCCTGCAGCTCCCCTGTCTGCTCCTGACCTGTGCCATTCAATCTTATCACTGTGACCTCAGCCCATCCCTCAAAACCCCCAGTCCTCAGGGCCACCCCTTCCCTCCCTGGTGTGGATGTCCTTCTAGCCAAATAACATGTCATCAAGTGTTGAATTATCTGTGGGGCTGCCATTTGCTCACCAGCATTTTTGATGGCGAGGTAGGAAACTCTACCACCTGATAAAGCATGCCCAGGAGCGTTCAGTAGGAACCCCTTCCATTTCTGCAGGTTACTATTCTAAAACGGTAACCATTAGCCTACAAGTCTTGCTAATATCAATTTTTTCAACCGTGTTGTGCTTATTTTGATACAGAAACTAAAGGTAATAGTTGCCCATTAATGCCATTATCTTCAGCTCTGCGACTGTTTTCTAGTTCCTTGTCTTGTCCCTTCTTGTAGACCTTAATAGAATATTACTTTCCATTTCAATAAACCACCTTGTTCCCATGCCGCATTTCTACCCTGGGCCTGCTGCTAATTTTCCCATGAAGCACAATACAAGTTCTACGAGCAACACCTCATTTTCTGCTTATGCCCTTGACAACCTCTAGGACTGAATATTGAATTCTGCAACTTCAGAGTCTGACTGCATGATATCTGTCCTCCATTTTTCTTACGTTATTCCATCCCAACAACCTTGTTTCTGCCTTGTGTGTCTTGCTTAGTTTACATTCAATAGAAAGGACCCACTTTCTCCCTTTCACATCTTAATTTATACTCGTTCTACATCTTTATTTCTCTTTTAACCTCAACTAATAGGCCCTTTGCCTTTTACATCAGGTCTCCACACCATCTGTTCCCCTCCACCTCTGTCGAAAGTATTTAAAAAAACCCACCATTTTCAGTTCTGGAAAAAGGTCACATTTGATCTGAAACGTTAATTCTGTTCGTCTCGCTACAGACGCTGCCATACGTACCGAGTTTCTTCAGCATTTTTTGTGTTTGTTTCAGATTTCCAGCCTCCACAATATTTTGCCTTTATTACATTGCTGCTCTGTGTTGTCTTGGTGAGTAAATGACAGGCTCGGACACAAGCCGGGCTGGCCAGTGACTCGAATCCTAGTCATCATGGTATTAACCTGACATCAACAGCGGAGTCATTTCCTGCATTTGTCAGCTGAGGAGGAGAGAAACATTGGCCGAGGCATCGTTCCTGATTATCGTTGAGCCTGTGGAAAACTGCACATTGACTCTGGATGGAGTCAGGCCCGTACTCTGCTCTAGAGTCTTCCTCTCACCTACTCCCCTCTTGTTTTTATCCCCTTCCCCACACCTCTTGCTTCATATTCCCCAGTTGGATGACCTGCCAACACTTTGTTCAAGCTCACACATGAATGGTGAATTCCAGTAAGATACAATCAGGCTGTTGGGCATCCATGGCATCAGGAGGAAGGGGCCGAAAAAGTAAAAATTGGGGTGTAGTGTGTGAGTGAGTCAGTGTGATGTTACCTTTTTAAACTCAGCTTCATCCTGTGTACAGCCACGCATCAGTCAAATGTTTATGAATGAAGCTCAGAATCTGACTGACATTCATTCTTCCAATTTTGACAATTGTTTTTAATCAACTTTTCTGGGTGCGTTATGACGCAACTTTGTGACGGTTGGGATTTGAACCACGATGGTTGGGCTTCTTTTACTATCCAGGGGTGTTCTTACACACAACTGAAATATCTTTTCCTCCCACTGCCGGTGGTGATATTTCATCTTCTAACCACCCCAATAAATCCATCCATATTTTCAGATTGATTCATTTACGTGCAAAATCCTGTTAAGGGCAATGCAATGTTTTAAAGTTGCAGAGGAGGTAAGGAGAGAATAGGTGGGTGGGGAGGGGCACACTTCAAGTCAGCTCTGCTGGAGAGTCACCGAGACTCGAAACGTTAGCTTGCTCTCTCTCCGCGGATGCTGTCTGACCTGCTGTGATCGGCGGCATTTGTCGTTTTTGGTACAGATTCCAGCATGTGCAGCAATTTATTCCTAGCTGGAGTCGGAAGGAGCTGATTGGTTGGACTTTACCAGATCCTGATTTGCTGCCAGGTGCTTTGGTCCGTTTAAGATGTGTGATTTAATGATTGATGGCACCTGGAATGACCAAGTTGATGAGTCCCAAAGTATGCCCTTTGTGAAGAAGCAAAACTGCCTTCAACTGCCTGGAGAATTTAAAAGATCAGGGGCGCCGTCTCAGGAGAAGGGGCTGATCATTTGGGACTGTGATGCGGAGAAATTACTTCAGTCATAAGGTTCTGAACTTCGGAACTCTCTGCCCCCGTGACGAACACCTCTAAGGCTGAGGAAGATAGAGATTTTTGATTTGCTAGGCAATCGAGGGATATGAGTAATGGGTGGGAAAGTGGAGCTGGAAGGCAAGAATCCTTTTGAACGGCAAAGCAAGCTCGAAAGACCTTATGGTCTCCTCTTCTATCTTGTCAAATCAGTTTGACTCAAATGAAGCATTTTCACCTTCAACATTGCACAGAGACTGTGGACTTAATTTAGTTTGTGCACTCTGGTCAGGTGCTCACCTAGAAAGACCAGTACTTTATGATATTGGGCCTTTGCATGAGGCATTTGGCGCAGTTGGCTGCCCTGGATGTTGAGCAGGAACCATAATGCTTCCCAAGTTATTAACAGCCTGATTGGTCCTAGTTTACAGCCAACGGCAGCAGCAAAATTTGAGATAACAAGAACTGCAGATGCTGTAAGTCAGAGTCGATACAGTGTGAAGCTGGAGGAACACAGCAGGTCAGGGAGCATCAGAGGAGCAGGAAAGCTGACATTTCATCAGGACCCAACTCGCAACGTCAACCTTCCTGCTTCTCTGATGCTGCCTGACTTGCTGTGTTCCTTCAGCTCCATGCTGTACTGGCAGCAAAATTTGACTTGGGCTGCTTTTTTCTAAATCAAAGGATTGAATTAGTCTTCCATTTAGGTTAGGAACAAAAGTTGCATGGAGTTCAATACTTTTATTTTGGTTTTAACTTTGCTGCACTGGTCCATTAGCATCAGACCATTTGCACAGTCAGTATTAAATTCCCGTTCGATTTTCAACTTGTCTGGTGTCCCAACAGAGTCAGAACACTTGGTGAGTAATGGACCATAAGCCAAAACCCTCATCCTGCAGTGCTGCATTCATTGAGTCCCCTTGTCTTAATTTAGTGCTGTGGGGAACTGCAGGTTAGGTTTATTGACTGATGTAACTTTGGTAGACACCAAGGAGGACCCATGCTAGTGGTGTTTTGACTGAAGCGAAAATAAGGGAATGTACATTATTGTGTAAAATAAAATCAATTTCATAATGGTTATGCAAATGTTTTCCTTGTAAAAGTTGGATAATACATTCTACACTTCACTATTGTTTCTTAAAAGTGCCCTTACCTCTGATATTACACAAGAACTGCTTAACTTTTGAGAACCATTTGTATTTGCTTCATATATTACTGGGAATAGTATGATTTGGTTTCTGTGTGGCATGTTTGATTCCTTGTATATTGTCAAAGTGCCAATAAAGGCCTGCTTAAATGTTGCAAGTTATGAGGAAAAGTGGAATGGCTCTTTGACAAACAGAAAAAATAAGAATGTATTTTTGATGTCGATTGAACGCTGGTTTTGGAGAAGTTAATTATGGTACACTTTGTAACTCTGACTGCACTTGCCTCTCTGTCACTGCACTGCTGTCACTGCATATCCTTACCCCTGAGCACTGTCTCACTGCATTAAAGGATGCATCCACTCTTGGATGTGCAGCTTCATTAAATTCTATTGTAAAATTGTATTGATATCTTGTTTGTTTTACGGTACCTCTGAATACTAGAGCAAACTGCTCTATCTCGTCACGGATTTGACAGGGACAAATTTTAACAAGTGTTTCCAAGAGGGAAATGGGTGACAATCAAATGACAATTTTGAGTTCACAATTTTTAATGTAATGTCCAGTTCTCTGTACCGGGCTGCAGGAACAAGATGTTGTGTAGTGTGGGGTATCAAAGATGCCTTTGCATTTCTTTGAAGTTTTCAATTTTATTTTTGCCCTTCCTTTCTTTGAAAAGAAAATTAATGTCTTAGTGCTCCCATATATCAATGTTTGAATAAGTAAATGGGACCACCGGCCTTCAAGCCATACCTTCAGCAGCAGTGAGTGAGCCAGGAGGGAAGAAAGGAGGAACATGGTTTGTTAAACTACTTCCAGTGTGTCACCTTCTCCATCCCCACGGCCCTCCACCTGCTGCCCTTTCCTCACCAGTACCACCCCTCAGCCTGAGCAGCTTCTACAGTGATCGCTACAGGAAGCAAACCTGATGATAAAAGTTACCTCTCAACCCTGCTCCCTCACCATTGGCTCATTCTATGTGTAGAATGGCAAATTCTGGAGAAAATGCA